ATTGGAAGAGGTGGCAAGAAGCTCTATGATTTCTAGTCATACTTATCACATTTAATCACAGTATCTTCCTGGTTTTCAGAGATAACTTTGAAATCAAGTTAAAATGTCAGTTGCTTTTTGTAGTCAGTATGGAAGGCAGGAAATGTGCAAAAGTCATGGGTCTCTTGCCTCCAATTTATTACTCTGGGTTATGAGATTTGATTCAATAGAAATGGGTCTATAAAAGTAGATGGTTGGCTACAGCTACAGAAAGGTCAGTAACTAAGAGAAGATGCAGGCTCTAGGGCTTGTGGGCTGTTCATGTCTTCAATCCAGGTGGTATATGGAAACAATGAAGTTTCTCAGGTAGAATAAGGGTCATAGATTTTATTTAGATTGTTTTGCTATAATCCTCATTTGTCTTTGGTTTTACATGTATTATGATGCCCTTAATAACTTAATTTTTTAAAAAGTTCTCCTGGGTTCTAGACTGGTCTCTGCAGCCTAGTAGCAGTGTAACCTCCAGCAGATTGCTTACTTTTTCTCTTTAGCTTTCAGATTCCTCACCTATAAAATGAGAATTAAAACTGTATCTAATAGAGTAGTTTTGAGAATTGAAAATAGGCATTTATATTTAGCACAATACCTGTAATACATAAAAGGTGCTCCTGAATTTAACTCTCCTTGTTTCTTAGAGTCTACAGTATGCCAAGCTTGTAAATCAGCGTTAGCTTAATCCCTTAGCTGTAATCTCAGATGACATTTGCTTTAAAAATTCTAGGTCCTACATTTGAGGGCAGGTAGGAGAACGGAAGAATAGAAGTAGTGATCCTCCAGTAGCCAAAATGATGTCAGATAGTTTCAGAGAAGACAAGTTGTTGAACTATTAGTTATGATCATATTCATAAAACCAAAAACAATGAGAAATAATGTCTGGTTGGAAATAATATCTGATTTCACATGTCAGTATAATGTGAGCAAACTTTTTCACAGTAATTAATAATAAAATGCAACATTGACATTTGGGAGCCAATAATCATTTAGGTAATCCACGAAGAAGACTCCTCAAAATAAAAACTAGCTTATAGCTGACTTCTGGTAAAATAAATAATATAGAAGAAAAGAATGCGTAGGTTAGCTTCCTATGTCATTGTCACACAACATACAATAAAATCTCATATCACCTAAACAGAGGAGAGTCTCCATTTGTCAAAAGTCAATTTTAGATTTTTTTTTAATTCCAATTTTTATTTTATTGTGGTGAGAACACTTAACATGAGATCTACCTTCTTAACACAGTTTTCTGTATACAATATAATACTGTTAACTATAGATACACTGTTACACAGCAGATCTCTGAACTTTCATCTTGCATAACTTTCATCTTGCATACCCTTGAACAACTCCCTCTTTCCTCCACACCCCAGCCCCTGGCAACCATCATTCTACTTTCCACTTCTGTGAGTTTGACTATTTTAGGTACTTAATGTAAGTGGAATCCTGCAGTGCTGATCCTTCTGTCCTCACAGTTCGTCAGTGTCACATTTTGCAACATTTACTTTTTTAAGGCTGAATAATATTCCAGCTGAATAATATATAAATAATATAACATATAATATATATAATATCATATCATATATAATATATAACATATAAATAATATATAAATAAAATAAATTATATAATATTTTAGGCTGAATAATACACATTATGTATATAGCATATGATATGTATATACTACATTTTCTTTACCATTCATCTGTCATTGAACATTTAGATTATTTCTGCACTTTAGCTATTATGAATCATGCTACAGTGAACATGAGAGTGCTAATACCTCCTCAAAATAAAGAATATCTTAAATAATTTTTAAAATTTTAAATTGGTCTATTATCACAATCCAAATGATGGTTTAAGTAGAATGTTATTTTATGCCAATGAGTTACACTGATTATTTTAATTCAGTTCTAAGTGAGCTCATTATCACTACTGTTTTTATTAACTGTGTTTTCAAAGGTAAAGACAGGTTTCAGCCCAGCCATTTGTTGATTTTTTTTTTTTATTAACTCTTCTTTTTTTTTTTAAAGATAAAAGTGTTATTGTCTTTTTGGCAAAAAGCACTTGAGAATGCTGTCCAAAATAGAAGTACTTGTGGAATGAGCTCTTGATTACTGATGGTTCTATGGACATGATAATCGTCTATATTAAAACTGAAATGTTTTGTTTTCATGATATATTGTGAATGAGCTCGTTGCTCTTGGTCAGGATTACAGCACCTTCAGAATCCAGTCCAGGCATCTCCTCCACGAGGTCAGCCCTCATCCTCGTGCCATGAGTATTCCTCTCCTCCCTTGGCTTCTAACAGAATTGTTTATACCTCTCTTTGTAGTTATAAATTGGGCCTTGAAATATAATTATTTATATTTCCATTCCCTAATAAAATAAAATTCCTTAGGGCACAAACTATTACATTAAGATCAACTCAACAGATAAATTGTTGACTGTCTACCTTGTCCAAAGTACTGAGCTTTAAGGGATACAAACATGAGTATTACACAGCTTGTCCTCAGCATCGTGTTTCTCAAAGGGCCTGGTCTCCCTCTTGACTTTTTGTCTTATATTCCGTGATGCTCTTCTTTGTTCCTCCCACTTCTCTTACGGTCACTACTTCACAGTATATTTTGCCTCTTTCTCTAGTAGACTTCTGAATAATGAAGATGCCCAGGGCTTGTTCCTGAACTCTCTTCTTGTCAGTACACACCCTCTCTAGGTGATCTCAGTTATGCTGATGCATCTAAAATATCATCTCTATGCCAATGACTCTAAATTTTATATCTCTCGTTCAGACACTTGTTCTGAATATGAAGTCCACATAATCCAATTGCCTTTGAAGTCTCAGCGGCATCTCAGAAATAAATGTCTTCAAGAAAATCCTCTATCCTCACCCCCAAATTTGGTCCCCCTCTCGGGGAAAACACCTTTACCTACCGGGCTGGCAGGCCAATGTCCCTAACGTGATCTTCATCACATCTCTCCCCCTCCCTCACCTTGAGCCAGTGGCCAAGTCCTGCTGACTCCACCTCTGCATTGTATTCCTCCTCTGGGCTCTGCTGTCTAGCACCTGCCCACGTGCCTGCACTGTGGGCTGGCATCTCTGGTCTAATCACCCAGGGTTGTCACAGTGATTGTTTATAATCACAAGGCCGGTGGTGCTTGAAAGTCCCTCCTTGATTCTCATTGTTCTTGGGATAAGATTTAGAAATCCTCAACGTGGCTTCAAGACTCTTCATAATCAGGCCTTCTCCAATCCCACTTTATGCCACCCCACCCCCTGGAATCCAGCAGCAGGAGGGAGCATTCTTTAAATTCCAGAGGTTCGCTGAGTCTCCCTCCCCCTGAGGGTTTTTGCACAAGCTCTACCTTTTGAGAACCCTCGGTTACCGAGTGAACCCCCACTACTCTGCCTGTCTGCTTAGACATCATTCTCTCAGACAGGCTTCATCCAACTGCTCATACTAAATTACGTCCCGTCCCCTTTTTAGATCTCAAATTATCCCGAACTTTTTTTCATAGCATCTCTGGTCATGGGTAAGATTTATTTCGCTGGGTGATTATTTGGCCTATTTCTCCCTTGCTCTGTCAAGATCCCTGAGGGCAGGGATAATGCCTGTTTTGTTCACACTTCAGGCCCAGGACCTGACACATAATGGAGAGTCAATAAATATTTGTGGAATGAGTAAAATAGATAGGCAATACAAGTTTGAAAGCAAACCTAACTACTGCACAGCAGAATGTGTTTAACACTGAAGGCTATAACTTAACATATGGAAATAAGTTCCTAACTGTCATGCAAAGATCTCTATGAGTTCACAACTAAACTAGGCATGTACTGTTTTTCTGATCTGTCAGATTTTAGCATTGTTATTACCAAAGAATATATTTGCCAACAGGAAAAAAAATTGTTTTTTAGCAGTTAGACAACAAATGTTTATCAGTCATTTATTGTTTGCATGGTAACTGTTCTAGACGCTCAGGGTACAGCTGGTGGGATGCAGCTTACTTTCCCATGGAGGACAGACGGTAGACCGGTACACAGGAGGCTGGGTGAGGTGGCCCATGCTTGAAATCCCAGCAGTCTGGAGCCCACGGTAGGAGGATCAGTTGAGGCCAGGCGTTGGAGGCCAGCCTGGGCAATATAGCAAAACCCTGTCTTTACAAAAAATTTTTAAAAAATCAGCAGGGTGTGGTAGTGTGCACCTGTAGTCCCAGGTACTCAGGAGGCTGAGGTGGGAGGATCACTGGAGCCCAGGAGTTCAAGGTTACAGTGAGCTATGATCAGGCCGCTGCACTCCAGCCTGGGTGACAGAGCAAGGCCCCGTCTCTTAAAAACAAAACAAAACAAAAAAACCAAGTACACGGGAAATTTCAGCTCTTGAAAAGTACTGTGGTCTCAATAAACCAGAGTCAGAGCATGGATAAGGTGGTGAGAGAAGTCCTGCCTGAAGAGGTAGTGTTCGGGCTAACATTAGAGCGATGGGGAGTCTACCACCGGGGACCCGGGAAGAGCTTTCCAGGCAGAGGGACCAGCATACAAAGAAACTGAGGCACGTGTCAGCTGGGCGTATCCAAGAAACAGGGGTGGCCAGTGGTCCTCGGCGCCGTGAATGAAGGCACGAGTGCAGGCTTTTAGAGTTAGACGTGCGGCGGCTCGAAGTTCTCAGTCCGCCCTTTATCGGCTGCTCACCACAAAATGGAGACCATGATGGTGCCCAGCTCATAGGCATGTTGCGGAATAAGATAAGTAAGGTCAATAGTAGTTATATACCTCACTGATAATTTAAACACAATTAATATGCCTGCCAAAGAATTTATGTGAAGGAGAAACTGGTAAAGTGAATGTTACTTAAACTTATGGCTTTATTTATGTGTTAATAGTTTACTAATTTATTATCTTTTAAAACAATGCACTATGTTGCTAGTTGTTTACAAACATTAATATTTACGTTGATTTTTCATGAAAGGTTAAAAAGCTGAAGAGAGAACTCTCACAGATGAAGCAAGAACTGCTCTATAAAGAACAAGGCTTCGAGACGTTGCAACAGTGAGTATAAAAATACTGAAATCGACTTCAGAATAGGCTCCCTAACTAATACAAAGAAAATAGAAGTATAGATTACTTGAGGGATTTCTCAAAGAAACATGAAGTAAAAAGCTCAGAGCTCTGCACCAGGAAAACAAAAATGCAATCGACAAACTTGGGAAAAATCTATACACCTGAAAAGGTCCGAAGTTTTTATTAATCATTGGAGATTCAAAGAAACCAAAGTGAAAAAGTTAACTTTGTCTCCTGGACCCCTGCCAGCCTCCTCTGGGGCTGTGGTCAAGAGCTGGGAGCAGGCGCAGAAGTACCTGTCTGCATTCTGCTCCGGAGGCTGGGCTGGCCTGGCTGGACGGTGCTAGACCCCAGAGGAGCCTGCGGCCGAGGGCTGGAGGCATCTCTCTGCCTCTCCGTCAGCCCCAGGGATGACCTAGAGTCTAACCCTAGAGACTGACCTCAGGGCTGCAGGAGCAAGTCATGGCTGTCAGCAGAGGAGCTGGGGCATGCTCCTCACTTCCTGCGTTCCCTGTCCTTTCCAGCTCAGGACTGAAGTCTGGTGGGCTACTGGCTTCCTTTAGGCTAGGCCGGGTTAAACAAAAATGTAGATGACAAGAAGAGCACAGGATCTGGAAGTGTCCCCATTCCCAGCCCCTGGAAGCCACTGTTGTCCCTGCTAATGAGGCGAGCCTACCCAAACCATGACAGACACACCCTGGACTTTCTAACCCTACAGAGGTCTCTTGGGGAAGAGAAGCAGCACGTGGTTTGTATAGCCACATGACCACAGAGAGGTTGGAAGGTGGTATCCCCTGAAAGCCATCCCTGCTTCTTACTTCCCTCCTGCTTGCTGCAAGGCTTGGGGCCGCCAACTGCAGCGCAGCACCCCTAGGGATTTCCCTGGTCGGTTTCATGTTCCGCGTCCAGGCGGGTTTCATGTTCTTCCTGGCATGTCCCTCAGTGGCACCTCAGCAGTGCCCAGCTGTTCTCAGGAGCCACCTGTGTGGAAAGTACCCAGCTCTGTTCCTTTTCCCTGTGGAGTCCTATTCTGCTTCCTGCTGTTAGGACAGTTGGGAGAGTCCAGCAGCAAGGCATTACCCCCGCTAAAGACCCCACGTGTCACTAGCCAGACAGATGTAAGCTGGTGGTTCCGTGTGTTTGGGTGACAAGTTGTATCTTGGGACAGCCAGCGCTGCTGTTGACCGCCAGTCTGGCACATGGCTCTCATTTCAGACGTTTGCTGTTACGGCTTAGTCTTGTTTTTTGCCCACTTGGCTCATGTGATTATGACCCTGCTATTCTTTCGATGCTCCCATCTAGTGGTTCTCAAACCTGACCGCATATTAGAATAATCTGGGGTGATCCGGTCTGGGAGATCTGGTGTTTCTGGTCTCCCCCGAGGTACATTTTATGAGATCCTGGGTGCTTCTCAAGTACAGCCATGTCCTAAGAACCTCAGCTGGTGTAGAGCTCTCCGAAAAACCAAGCACCCCTAGAATGACATGAATGTTTTATTTAATAATTGTTTGTCAACATAAGGCAGGGCTTTGTGGTGGGGATGGGGAGAAAAGACAAACTTTGAAGAGTGCCACAAAATGTCTAGCCATATGTTAAACACTTTTAAAGCACATGAAATTATAACTCATATCACCACCCAGGATTAAAGGTTAGCCAAACTTGCTGTTTTTGTTATATTGATGTAACAGTGCTGTATTGTTTCAAAGCAGTTTGCTTGCAAGAAATTTTTATAGGAATCTAAGGCATGTTTAAGAATCTGTCAATAACATTCCATAAGAAAACAATAGACATTTGTTGTAGAAATTCAGGCATTCTCTTGCAATGATTCTAATCCCTTGAACCAAGAGCAGAGAGATATGGTATCAAACATCAGAGACCTCTCCTGTTGAGCTTAACTATAGACAAAATAAAGCTGTTTTTATTCAAATGTTAACCAACATACTACAGTATCACTGAATGATAATTGATTGAACCCAGAGACCAGACTTTTTAAGAAACCACATTCCTGAATACTATTAAAGGGACTTTTATTTGCGGCTATGACAGAAAATATATTTCAAGAAAAGATTTAAATAGAATCCCATTGTAGGCTTTTGTGACTTTTATTTACAATAGAATGGAATATTTTTGTTGAATCTGGTAATGTAATTTAAGCTTGGGCTTTCGTTTTTTACTCAGTACAATAGTTTTATGCTGGGTGAACAAATATAATTTTGTTCTCTACATTATTCATTTCGATCCATGGTCCCAAATTTGACTTTAGCCTAAGCAACAGGCTAAGTTATGTGTAAATGGATACCAGGAGGGTGCATATTTCCGTTTTGCTGCCTCCAGTTTGTATTAAGAATTGGAAAATGGAAAGTGATGAAACACCCAGCAAGCCATAAGCATATGCATACTCTGAAAGGTTGGCCCTGGGGCACACACATTCCAGAGAAGGCGTGCAAATGCAAATCTTTTCTTTGCAAGGAGACTAAGATATAGAGCAAAAATTAATTAGAGGGTGCATACAAGTCAAAAACTTTTAAAGAATTTTTAAGAAAAAAATTGGCACTTCTCGTTAGCAACAAAAAGCACAGTACTTCATTTTAAAAGTCAGCAAATATGTTCTTGTTTTATTTTATTTTATATTTTATTTTAAGGTAACTTAGAGTCAAAAGAGAGAAAAAGGTGGGAAATGAACATTGGAGGAGAAAAAAGAAAAGCATTAGAAGTAAAGGAAAAAAGCAACATATAAAATAGAGAGGTTCAAAAGAGGCAGTAAAAAGAAAGACCAAAAGGGGTCCCATGGTGAATGCTGATTCGAGGCAGCTTGCTCTTCATTCAGCATTCTTTGGAGCGAGGGATATTTTCATCTGTTTTTAAAGCTCTCTGAAATTTAAATTTGCAGTCCTGAACTAGTTCTGCTTTTATTTTTGAATGTTAAAAGTTTATTTCTGAGAACAGCTTACCTGTTTTTATTTTCAAATAATAAAGTTTTTATTACTTGAGTTTTATAAATTCACTGTGACACAGTTTCAGATACCTATATTACTAGCTATTTCATGAAATCTCAGTTTTGTTTTGTTAGTTAAAAAGCGCTGCACTTGAAAATGCCAAAATGCTGTATTTGGAAATAGCACTTGTTGTATTTAATAAGCCTTTACCTCAGCTAAGTTGGTGGATGTAATATTTAGGAGAGCCAGAAATTTCGCTGATCCCTTCCCAAATACATAGAATTAACCAGTATTCAAAGTACTTCACTATTCCCATCAGATATTCTAAATGTAATAGTCATAAGAGCCCCAAGCCCGACTCTGTCATTTTAAGGTAGTTGCCCTACTAGCTAAGTATCTATGCAGTTTATGGCCTAATTCGCATATAGTTTCTGGCCTCAGTTTGTTTGTTTGGAAGAGGTTTGACTAGGGAATCTCTAGGGTCCCCACCCATACTAGACTTGTGAGTGAGAGTGTGTGTGTGTAATTCTGTGACTTGATTGGTTGTACTTTATTATCAGATGACTTTATGATCAAGTTTATTTTATTTTATTGGTTCTTTAAGGCTTTCATTGCTTGTTCAGCAGCATAAAATATTTACTAAAATAGTACTTGGGGAAATGTGTTACCTGCAAACTGCTCTTGTTTGACTGAACTTTGCAAGAGTGATTGATTAAGATGGCTTTGTTTTATCTTTTTCAGATTTCACCTTTCACATTGAAAATAAATACTAATTATTAAATATTTTAAACCAAATGAGCTCAAAATGTTTCCTCTGATCTTGTAGGTGTCATTTCTTTGGAGGGACTAAAAATATGTCTAAGAACAGGTATAGAGAGTTGCTGACAAATCCTGGATGGCATTGGTAGCCAGGGAGAACCAGGGGAGTGGTCATGAAAAGAATTTTAAACTATTTTTTAAAAAGAATTGGGCGGTTTGGTTTGGGGCCTGAATGAGGTTACAGGAAATCCTCTATCCTAGGGTGATGATGTGAACTGTAAGGACATTTGGTAAGCAGGTCTGCAGGGATAATAAATTAGCTCATTGAAGAGTTCTTTATTCAATGTGAGTTGACAAAATAAACACAACTGCCCTTCTGCCTTGTTCCTAAATTTGTATTCATCTAGCAAGGCAAGCAATTTTATCTCCACTCACAACTTTCATAAAAATAGAAAAAAATACTTTCTATATATTTAAAAAGAAATAAATAACCACACAATCCAAATACTGTAGGATACTCATTAGTATAAATAACGATTCATTTATTAACATTATTAAAGGCCTACTAGGTGCAGGCCCTGTGCTAGGTTTTGCACAGACATTAAGCAAAACGTGTAAATTAGCTGGCAGTTTATTGGCATTTCTGTTCTGCTAAAGCATTTGCCCATGTCCTTCATGGGGTGGAGACCTGGATCAGCACTCGATGAGGTTTGGGCTCAGCCCGCAGTGGGATCACCCAAACAGACTGCAGACAAAAAGGCATGTTTTTATCTGAGCCTAGAAGTGATCAGAAACGGACTGTGTACGAAGTGGCGGGTGGGAGAAGTCTTAGCTAGACGTGATTAAAAGAGAAAGGAGGAGAAACAATCAGCCTTAAAAGGTAGTTGCTGGTGTGGGAGCCAAGAAGTAAAATAATCAGCCGACTAAGATGATCCAAAAGCCAATTCCTACTGTCTGTTTAACTTGTACTCTGTCATTCTTTGATTTTTTAACTTTTATTTTCTCTCTCTCTCTCTCTCTCTCTTTTAACAGAATTGATAAAAAAATGTCTGGAGGCCAGAGTGGATATGAACTTAGTGAAGCCAAAGCCATTCTAACTGAACTGAAATCCATCAGAAAGGCTATTAGCTCAGGAGAAAAAGAGAAACAAGATCTGATGCAGGTATGTTATGGAACATTTTGTTAAGTCAATCTTCTACCTTCTGAGGCTCCAGAAACTCTCGTTGAGGCAGAATTTCTCCCTCAGAGTCTAGATGACCCTGTACCACCTCTGCCCCATTAGTACAGAATCAGGCCCCATGGGAGATTGTTATAGGCACCAAGGCAACCTGGCTGCCTTGGAGGAGAATAGATTGGTTCCAAGCCTCTGATATGCTTCATGGAAGGCAGCCTTTGGATGTCTTTTGAGATGGTGGGTGGTGGATCCTGGGGCCCGTATGAGGAGATTAGCATCTAGGTGCACCCTGAAATTAGCTAAAAACTTCATGTGGGACCCAGATAAATAGGGTTCGCTAAACCAGTGATTCTCATCCCAGGAAGCATAAAGGTCACCTCACCCACCATCAGTAGGTAGAGCATATGCCTTTTTGGGGGGTGAGGCTATATGAGGAGCTTAGAAAAGCTGCTTTCTGACCCACGTGATTCTGAGGTGCTAGCTAAGGGTAGAGTAGGCAATGTTCACCCAGCTAGGGGATACCTATTCAGTTACAGTAGGAAAGCTACAACCTGTGGGTCTTGTAATTCCCAGTGGTCCAGAAAAAACAAAACAGCCATTTAGTGATTAGTACTCTGAATATCTATACTTATCAGATACAGTCAAGTTGTTTTTAAGGCTGTCTCCCCTTCCTTCCATCTAATAATTATCACAAGCACTAAAGATGCTTGTTTCAGATATTTGGAGTTCTTTACCTAACTAAGTAAGATTTTAGTCTGCATCTTTGGGAAAATGTTAGAGCCAATGGTGATTTTTACATTCTTAATAGAACATCTGCATTTAAATACTGTATTTAATTCCTTCATATTGGTTTTCAAAATGGTAGTTGCATACAGGTAAATATTCTTAGATTCATATAATTTTGCATTTTGGGAATTTTAAAATAACTTGCAAGAGAACTAATAGAAAAGACAACAGTAATAATAGACAATACTTAGAAATACTGACTTTGTACCAGACACTCTTCTGCCTTGCATGTAAAGAGTTCACTTAATCCTCAGAACAACCCCGAGTGGTAGGCACTATTATTATCCTCAGTGTATAGTGGAGGAAATTGCAACATAGAAAAACTAAGTTACTTAAAGTCTTACATCTGGTAAGCAGCAAGACTGAGGTTCAAACCCAGGCAGTCTTGCTCCAGAATATGTGGTTTTAACATATATATAAAACATATAAGACTTTACTTATGTATATTTTGTTCTTGTTCCCCAGTTATCCTGCTAATTAAATCAGTGATTCCTGAAATGCACATAATGGGTCCTTTCTTAAAAAAAGTTTGTAGAACTTGAACAAATTTACACTGGAACTTTATAATTCAACAATTTTAGGACATCTTTGATTCTTTGTGTAAATTTTGGGTTCATATGCAGGCCAGATTAAATTAAAAACTTAGATTCCTTTTCCATTAGTAAAGCACATAGAATAATTAATTAGCAGATACAAAGATTGACAATAGATCTTGAAAGGACATTAGATAGCTACTGTGACTTTTAAACCACTTTGACACAGTAAGAAACATATTTTACATCAAAACCCAGTAACACACAGTTGTGTGTACTTATAGATTCATTTTATAGATGAAAAATAAATAGAAAAGACTTCCCCAAGATCCCTAAAAGTTTTCTTTGTTTTTTTTGGTAATATATTATTTGATGTGATCATTTAATATTTATCCCTGTCATATACACATTTTGTATAAATATCCCTTTAAAAGAAAAATAGAAAAGGTTAGGTAAAAAACCACATACTAGATCTCTGATATTTCTAATGCCTTATAATAAAAATTTTAAATATCAGCATTAAATAGTGGCTGTTCTTAAAGTTGATAATAATGGTTTCTTACCATTTTTATTAATAGTTCTGTAGGGTTTCCTTTTTTTTTTTTTTAAAGCAATTCAGATTAGACTTTCCTTTTTAAAACTTTCACTTGCTCACATCATCCCTCTCAAGTACACCCAGTGCATTAAGCCTGCATGCCTACAGCAGCACATGAGCTTCTGAGTACCCTCTTTACCGGCCAAAACACCACCACAGGCAGCGTCATGAAATAGACCCACAGATGGGCTCCACTGAAGCTCGTGCCACTCATTGGCAACTTCTGGGCCTCAGTTTCCTAATCTCTAACATCGATGTGAGCTAAATAATCTCTTGGGTCCATGGCATAGTTGTAGAAGTCTTCAAAGTAGGAAGTTGTGTTACTATATCTAAAATGAGAGATTGCATTATAGATATTCTGTGTTTCCTAATTTCTATTGCATAGAAGTGAGGTTCCTATTGAAATAGAGATTTCCCCTTAATGAATTTTTTAAAAAGTAAGAAATGTATGTATTACTTCTAAAGATGCAGTTATTCACAGGAAAATGCTATCTTGGGAAAGATAAGACAATCTCTTACCTTCAGAAGTATCTCACATGCTTCCAAAGACACAGGTGTATGTGCAAAATTATCTTCTACTCTTATTTTTCTAATTATATAAATAAATAGTTTTATTTGTTTTACTTTATTACTAAAATAAAGTAATTGTTTTGTCCATTAAGATTAGCTCTTTCCTTTTACTTTTTCCTGGTAGGGAAGGGTTGCTCTTTTACATGTTGAGCTTTATGAAATATTTTGTGTTTCCTGAACAGAGTCTTGCTAAGCTGCAGGAGCGGTTTCATTTGGATCAGAACATTGGCAGATCCGAGCCAGATTTGAGATCTAGTCCTGTGAACTCTCATTTATCCCTCTCCAGACAGACCCTTGATGCTGGGTCTCAAACAAGCATTTCCGGAGATGTAAGTTGTCTATGTCAAAGAATTGGCCCGCTGCTGTCCTTGCTGGGCCTTGATTACGATACGGTGGTGAACTGGGACAGGAGCTATATGTGATTTGGATTCCGGCTGTGTGCATTGTGTTTCATTCTCATAAGATTAGTTTTAAAAATCATAGCCTTATCTTTTCTGTCTAGGTGCCACGCATATCAGGATTTGTCCATATGAATAGCTTTGTTCAAACTTTCTCATGCTGTATTTCTTTAGAGACACTATTGAGAGGCTAGAGACATATGAGAATTTAACTTTTTCCTGTTATGTTTAGAGTCTTAGAAATTTAGGACCTTTCAAATAAACATTCTGGCTAATGAGAAACAGAAATATATGCCTTTTAAAACTAAAAAGAAAACTTGTTTTTGTAAATCCAAAGTTGACTATATTAAAATGTTTAATTTGTGATATCTAACATTTGAAAATAATGTGGCTTGGCTGTTATTAATTATTTCACCTTCTCCCTTTTGGGATGCCATTAGCAGGTATTTACTTTCCAATAAGTTCCTAGTTATTTTCCTATTCTCTTACTCTTCTTTGAAGTATGTGCTATGAAAGTAAAATGGATAGCTCGATCAACAATAGGGTTTACCTGTTTGAAAAATTAATTTTTGAAGTTATTTAGTTTATATTTTGTGTAGTTGAAAGCTAAATGATGGAAATTTTGGCTGATAAAGGCAAAGAGATTAGTTCCAATTCATAAATCTTATTAACCTGTACACTCTTCATAAACTCTTAGATACCAGACACATTTACCTGATAATTTTTTGTCTTGAATTTAATGTGTGGAGAAGGTGACATTAAAATCTTTGAAAAACAGGCAGACTTAAATTGAAAGAAATGTTTTGCCCCTACTGAGACTATAAAGTAAGTGCCTTTTTAAATTGGTGTTTCCCAATTTCAGTACCGTCTTCTCTAGTTTTCCAATTACTTGTATTTCCTAGAAACAAAAGCAGTTTACTTCATTCATTAGCAGAGTTAATTGACTTTTTCCCCCCCTTTTGTTTTTCAATAGATCGGAGTGAGAAGTAGATCAAATTTAGCTGAAAAGGTCAGGCTAAGCCTGCAGTATGAAGAAGCCAAAAGAAGGTAATGACAGGGAGCTCTTCTGTTAACGGCTCAAACATTATCTTCCTTTCCAGAATTAATCTCTACTCCGCTGGTGACACCTGCTGGGCTCTCCCCACATGTTCCCTCCAAGGCTACCGTTGGTTTTTAGCGTGCAAGAGTTGCTTCCCTTCTGCTCTCTCCCTCTTCCCTTTCCTCTCTCCCCTCAAAGCTGAAGAACAGGGAGAATTAATGAGAAGTATGGGAATGAAATTGTCCCCTTCTCTTCTGGAAAAAAAATGAAGCTTCGAGCTTGTACAATGGTTACTCCCCATTAAAAGTTAGAAGATTGGTTTCTCAGATGGGAACACGATGCAGCAATGGCTCAAGCACAGGACTTAGTAGCTGTTGAGGAGTTCTAAGGTAAATAAGCGCGTTCCTCTGCTTTGGAGGGGAGTCCTGCTGCAAGTGTCTGTGAAGGTGCCGAGGTGTCACTTCCCGTTGACTTACTTCAGGGAGAAGAAGAGAGATTGTTTCTCTCCTTTACCTTAGAAAGTTTTATTAACCTCTGTGGTATCCCTTTCTTTGTGAATCTGCTGGGGTGAGGTGTCCTCATCTAGTAGATAGACTCGAATAGTTTTTACAACATAGAATAACCTTATTTTGAGGGAAAGGGTTAGATTGATATATTTGATTTCATTATTTTCCTTTTAAGAACTTAAAAGTGCTATTGTTTTATTATTTAGTAGACACAGGGAACAATGCATTGTCATTCTTCAGGAAACAGAAGGATTTATCCTGTTCCTCCCCATGAGTATGAAAAGCTCAGCTGAGAACCCACCAGAGTGCTGTGGTTTCCTACCGCAAGAAAAACCATCAGATGCTGAAGTATATCTATTATTATTGATGATGACAATAATTTAAGAGTAATTGGCCATAGTTCTTAGAGGTTATCTGGCTCTAACAAAGTAAAATAAATACAAATGTTTGACTCTATGTAGCCTGGGTCCTTAATATTACTTGGTTCCTTGATTTACTGAAAGAAACCCAAGCTGCTTTCCACAAATTATTAACCATGTGAGCTTGTACCAGGTCACTCAGTCATTGTGAACAGCAGTTTACTCAGCTAATTTCAATGCCTTTAAATTTTCCCTGATAGATTTAAAAAAAAAAAAAAAAAAAGACTGAGTCTTGCTGTGTTTCTCAGGATGAAGTGCAGTGGTCCAATCCCAGCTCCCTGCGACCTCTAACTCCCGAGCTCAAGGGACAATCATCCTGCCTTAGCCTTCTCGAGTAGCTGGGACTACAGACACACACACTGCACCCAGCTAATTTTTTATTTTTGTAGAGATGAGGTCTCACTATGTTGCCCAGGTTGGCCTCAAACTCTTGGATTCAAGCAATCCTTTCTAACCTCGGCCTCTCAAAGTGCTGGGATTACAAGCATGAGCCATTGCGCCTGGCCTTCCCCAGTAGATTTTAAATTTCTTAAGGTTAGAAAAAATTTTATTTATATTTTATCATCCCCTTCTCAGTGCCCAGACTCATGCCTTCCCTTCAGTAAGTTTGGAGGATCAGTTTGTGGTTTCATGGTTGGTGCCGTGCAGGCTTTGGGTGGATGCTACCGTGCTCCTCCTGCTGCAAGCATGCCAGTCCTTCAGCAGCCAAAACTCCCCGGCTCTGCTATGGACAAGGCCCGGGATTTATGCATGGTTTTCTGGAGGAGAATGGCCGTAGCTCACAACTCATCTTGGAGAGCCAAGCCTTATGCCTCTGCTGTTTTATGGGCTTGACTCTACTTCCCTTGGACCATCCTGAGCTTTTGCTTTGCTTTGCCTTCTACCAGTGTATTCAATGAGAAGCTCACACAGCGTTTTTCTTCCTGGGTATTCCTGAAGTCTCCTTCGTGTTCTGTTCCCCAGATTTGGCATATGCCTTTCTGAAATAAAAATTTAAGAGCTGCCTAATACACACAAATAATGAATAGGTGCTTTTCTTTCTTGCATTATGTTGTTGCTCCCAGTTCAGTTGGTTAATTTATTTACATCAAAACTTAAAACACAGGTTCTCTCCCATGTGGCTGGCATTGCTCTCTCATTTGGGGTTTTATTTTAAAGTTAGTAGTGATGCTGACGAGAAGGTAAATCTCAAGGGTTTATGCACATGTTGAAAATGCTTCTTCCTCCCCAAGACTGAATAAGTAAAGAGGCGGGTTGTGTTTCTCTGAAGTCTGTTTTCTCTTCCAGCCTTTGTTTTATGTGCTTAATGAAGCTAATAATATCATGCTTATTTAGCATTTTGATGATTAATTTTCTAGTACGTTGAGACAGTTGTTTATGGTTTTGTAGTTAAAGCTGAAGAATAGCTGATGTTACATCTATCAAAGATGCAGACGGTGGGTGAAAATAAGAATTACATACTCAGTGCCGACATAAGATGGCAATTTTAACTAAAGAAACTTAGGGCACAAGTGTGTGGATCTGTTCCATCTTTCTTCCTGATTATATTCTTTGTCTACCTTTTTGTCTACCTTTGTCTACCTCTTTGTCTACCTTCACTTCTACAATTTCTTCCATCAAAAAGGAGAAAAAAGTTCTCCCTTTTCCCTCTGTTTTTCATATTCTGGTGTGCACTATAATAATATCCAAAGTAATCATCCAACTTTTTTTTTTATAGGAACATAGATTCCTTGTGCCAGTATCAGTTGTGTTCATAGTTGTGTTCATAATTCACCCTGATCTTGTGCTTGTGAGTGAAAGAGCCATGTGCTGTTCACCTTGTGAACAATGCCGATTGTCTTCACAGTGCCACAGAGCAAGTTTCTTGATTCCTGTGGTCAGGACAATCACATTGGATCGAGAGTGATGTTAACTTCACCATTTATTACGGAGGTCTAGACAGAGTGAAATCTGGGGTCAGGCAAAATTACGAACCCGGAGGAGGCTGCCTTCACTGCTTCCTCCTCCCTCTCCTGTGCCAGCCCCCCTACTGCAGCGTCTGCTGTCTGTCCAGCTGTGCGTGCTGGCGAAGGCCCACTGTGTGCCGCTCACTCCCACACAGCCAGGCGGCCACGGCACAGCGGTCAGTCACATGGGTGTGCAAAGTGCCCATGCAGCGTGTGCTCAGGCGCTGCTGCACGCACCAGTCCGGCTCAGGCTCGCAGCTGAAGGAGAGCAGGAGCGGGAGGCCAAGCCCTGCCTCTTCTCCTTGCCACTCGGAGCCTTGATGGATCTGTGCTTTGATACCAGCTGACCACGCCCTGCTCTCTGCTCCCTTCCCCTTCCCTGACTTGCTAATGGTCTAGTAGTCTCTGCACAGCTTTCCTGGGGCTACCATTTTGCTAGAGGACAGCATCTTTACCCAGAGAAACAAAATCTACAGCACTGGCGTTTCAGGCGTCAGTCACCTCAGTTTTTTAAAAGGGACACCTCCCCGGCACCCACACCCGCAGTCCTCAGGGCTGGCCTTGCGCAGCCCCCGGAGCCTCTGCCTTCGAAGGCTGTGTGCACTCGGCCTCTGCCCGTTTGTCAGGTAGCTGCTCTGCTCGCTTATTTTAAAGCTGGGGAATGGAGCAGATGACACCTGAGTGCGGTGTCGGCCGGGGCTGGGGTGCGGGGCTGCTGCCCCACCCCCTGGCCTCTCACCAGGACCAGGCCCTCTCTGGTGAGGTCCAGCCCAGAAAGTCCGGACAGTGTTTCAACCCCCAGACTTAGCCTGGTCTGTGTTTGCCTTTCGGGGCAGTTTTAAATACGTGCGTGTCTCTTTTCTCTCTTTATTTTAGTATGGCCAACTTAAAAATCGAGCTGTCAAAATTAGACAGTGAAGCCTGGCCTGGGGCGCTGGACATTGAGAAGGAGAAGCTGATGCTGATTAACGAAAAAGAAGAGCTTTTGAAAGAGCTTCAGTTCGTCACTCCGCAGAAACGCACCCAGGATGAACTGGAGTGCCTGGAAGCGGAAAGGCAGCGGCTGGAGGAGGAGCTGCTGTCGGTGAGGGGCGCTCCCAGCAGAGCTCTGGCGGAGAGGTGTGTGCTCCTCCTGGGGACAGGGCGGCCCTGTGGGCGTGCTTCAGCTGGATGCCGTTGTCCCTGGGTTTGGAAATCTGAATCACATGAATCACATCTGTTCTTAGTAGAGTGAGAAGCAGCACAAGAGGACTCTCTGTAGAGCAGTGCCTCACGCCTTCCTGATGCCCACAGCACCAGTTCCCCAGGGTTTGTTAGGAACTGACAGTGCCCCCGACAGATGTCGAATAACTAAGGAATGCCGACATAAAACTAGGAGTGCAGTACATCTTGACTGAGTCTGATAACAATGGCTGGAAACTATTGCACTCTGATGAGAAAGATTATCTAGACTGTTACAGTGACTGAAGCTTCCTACTCTGGGTTTTATTACGCACAAGAATGCAGAAGTTTATTGCCTTTCATTTCAGAAGGAAAAGGCAGACTTGCTCCCTTTGATACCCTAACAAGTCACAAAATGTTCACTTGGATTTTGTTTGTCAGTTGAAACTCTTCCCCTGCAGCAGGTGAAACTGTAAAGGGAAAAACTGTAGGCAATTTTATCATCTTTCTGTGGGAAGATGTGAATTGACTAATCTACAAAATCCAGTTCTATAGACAGATCAGCTGGAATATTAAATGAGGGAACCTCTGTGTCAGTTTGACATAAACGTGTCTGCATAGGAGCCCTGTGTATGGTCCTTGCTGGCTGCTAGGGTCAGACACCTGCGTCAGCATAGACCATGTAGCCCTTTAGAACCACTGCACGTGCATCCTTTAGGCCAGCAAGGAAGGAGCAGTGCCCGTCCCAAACCCACGCCGGTATAATTTCAAGTGACCTGGAAGTAAGTTTAAAACACCCACCTATAATCCAGTTGCTTTTTTTTTTTTTAATTCTTGGCTTTTTGCCTTCTAATTCCTTGTCCTCAACAAATATTTAAGGTTGTGTGTCTACATAATAACAAAACATTCAATAACTCAGGGGAGGGAGGGAGAGAAAAAAATCTCTGATATTCCCAGTTAGATGTTAGCATGTGGAGTCACCCACCCTGAGTTTTGGGAAAGCTGACTTTTGTGAATTTATTAAAATGTAGATCAGGGTAATACAGTGTTGTAGCTTTAGGGAGCATGAAAAGCCATCAAAAGGGAAAGCCTCTGTGGACTACATTCTTTTAACATCTTAAATAATTCCTGTCTGAGCCCCCATTTCTTTGCTTCCCTCTTGCTCAGACTTCTCCATCCAGAGGCTCCAGCCATGGGGTCAGCCTAAGGCAGCGTCAGCGAGGCTGGCCGGGTGAGGCCCTGCCTGACAGAGACCAAAAGGAACAAAAAGTGAGGGTGAGAAAACAGGGCAGAATTAAATTGTTTTTCCTGAACTACCCTGATGTTAGGTCTCTATTTGTAGCCCTTAAGTTTCTGGCACAAAAGTCTAATGGTCATCAGTAAATATAATGAAATGGGGGGCTTTTCTGTGGCCCATGTATAAAACACCAGTGATATTTGGTGGACTATGTAGCACTTAATATATGTTACATAATTAATTACACATGTCTAATGTTCACAGTCCAACTTGGCTGTTCTGCTTTGTAGCAGGTGAATCCGGGAAGGGCCTATAAACAGCCTTTAGATTTGTTCTGTGGGGGAGAATGTAGTTTGTTCGTTTTAATCAGCATTTACAGGTGTGGTGTCTTGCTTGTCTTTTTTGTTAGGGGTAGAGCTTCCACACATTGGCTAATGCAGTAACATTAAAAATATAGTAGTTTGTTCCCAGGCCAGGAGTAGTGGTGGCTCATGCCTGTAATCCCAACACTTGGGGAAGCTGAGGCAGGAGGACTGCTTGAGGCTAAGGGTTCAAGAAGAGCCTAGGCAACATAAGGAGACCCCATCTCTAAAAAAAAATTTTTTTAAAGTAGCCAGACATTGATATGTGTGCCTGTAGTCCTAGCTACTCATGAGGCTGAGGCAAGAGGATTGCTCGAGCCTGGCAGTTTGAGGTTGCAGTGAGCTGTGATCACACCTTTGCACTCCAGCCTGGGTGACAAAGCAAGACCTTGTCTCTAAAAAATTACACACACACATACACACACACTAGTTTGTTCCTAAGTACCTAAGCTTTGACGTTTATGCTTGTATTTGCATGCATGTAGTAACTGTCAAAATTCAGCAGAAACAGTAGGCTTGAACTCATCAGGAAGGGGAACTATAAAATATTTAATGCTTATATAAAATAATTATATATTTAGTGAGATCCAGCCACAGCGTTTGTGTCAGACAATGAATAAGCAGTGTGGATGTCCCCTCTAGCTTATGTAGCTACGTGGCCCACGATTGGATGTTAGCAGGAAGGGAATGTATGTAGTTTATGTGTGTAGTATGTTGACTTTCTGAGTTATTTGGAAGAGCCAAGTCATTTAGTATCCCAAACAAATGATCACTAATCTTTCCTGTGCCTGTGGCCAAAGGCAAATCCCCATCCGTACGTTGTAGTGAAGGGATGAGAGACTCATACTTTCTTGCCTGATCAACTGAAACCTGTCTCGCTCCTGTCCTGGGGTGCTCAGAACGAGGGGCGTTTCCCATGTTCACAAGAGCAGAGCCTGCAGCCCTCTCAGGCGCAGCCCTGAGCCCCCCGTTTCCCGAGCAGGCACGTGTAGTGGGGCTCTGGGTTTTGCTGTTAATGGTTTTACTTCACGTTTCCCCATACTCTTGTCATTTTTTCTTACGCTTCACCCTTTGTCATCTCTTCCTACCATGCGTGTCTGTTTCTGCTCTGCCGGTTGGTTGCTGCCGTGGCGCGGAAGCTGGCCCTAGAAGGCCCGAGAGCGCCCTTGGGAGCCGCCGCTCTGCGGGCCGGGGCGCGGTGGCGGGAGCTGCTTCTGGGAATGAGGAGGAGCCATGGGGAACTCAGACTGTGCTCCTCCAGCAGCACCAAGTCCCTCAATTTCCTGTTGGTACTTTTCAAAGAAAGCTGCCTGCCGCATTCTCCAGCGTTCTCCCTGTTCCTCATTTATACCGTGGGTTCCTCATTATTTCATGGGCGACCTCAGGTGGGACTCTGAGTCTGAATTTTGGTCTCTGAAGGAGACTAAATGCACATGAATGTTCAGCCACCGTGTGTGATCGTGCAGTCCCTCAGCTCTGCTCCCGCCCCACTTGCGGTGCCCCCCACTTGGCCTGGCAGCAGTGACTGCGCTGGCCGCCCATCGGCGGGAGAGCACTCGGGAGGGAGGGGTGCCCATCAGGCAGAGAGAGAAATGGCTCGCAAATGAAAAAAGCTACGCAGTGGGCATCTTCATACATCTTTCATGGTCCTTCTGTACAGGTACTGAAATCTCTTCAACTTTGCGCTTCTCTGTAGCTCATAAGATCTTAGCATTGCTCCTTATTTTCTCACAAATTTTAGTGGCTTTGCCTTATAACTGCCAAGGTGTCTTGTCTTAATCGTTTCTTAATTGTTTGAATGTTTTTGCCACTGCTTTTGAAAATTTTTTTAAAGCAAGTGTGGGGGTGTGAGTGTCATTTCGTTTTTAATGGGAAAGGGACTTCTTGCTTCTATAGATGATCTGAAAGTTTCCCTAGGTGCAAAGCTCTGAGTTCAGGAGAAACCAGACTTCTCTCCCTCAGGGCGCCAGGGGCAGAGGTAGAGGGGTGTGAGGCCACACCTTGCAGCTGAAAGGGCATGTGGAGCCGCTGGACAGGGAGGAATCTTAGGGGCCAGGTTGAAAAGGCCCTTTCTCATCCAGGAGACCAGAAGGCAGGGCTAGGAGAAGAGATGGGAGAGGCGGACATAGGTCCTCTTGAAAGGGCTGATGTCAGCAGTTTCTTCTGAGCCCTGGTGCAGAGGAAGCTGGGGAGGTGGTTTCCCATGAAAGACACCTGGCATCTGAGGAAGACTGCAGGCTCCCGCTAGGAGAGGCTTTGATGATCACATCAGAGACAGACCGCAGTCCCGCTGGAAGGATTCCTGTGACTGTCCCCGGGGCCTTCATCATGCTTCTCCGGTGAAGGCTTCCTCCAGACGCCAGCATGAAGGAGCACTGGGAGGGCGCGCTGCTCCTCAGGCAGCCTGGGCAGGAGAGGGAGAAGGAGCTGATGTCTGCCTTCTGGGGCCCTGGGCTCTAATTGGGGACCACGTGAACAAGAACTTAAAAGCTAAGCATCAGCAGTTCAAAGGAGCCTGGCCTGGAGGAGGCAGAGGATGGGCTCCCTGAAGACTGGAATAGGACGCCCTGCAAGTTTCAGTGGGGCTCAGGATCAGATTCTGAAGCCCTCCTGGTGCCTCCCTAAAACACCAGAGAGAGAGGCTTCATTTTAATAAAAGCAATATTTAGTTTTAAAACTTCAGAAGTAGTTCTCTTATTTTGGAAGGCATGGATTTTAGTAGAGTTTTGGGCTTTCTTCAGACCTTTGTGTACCTTCCAATTCAGTTAATCTACTTTGTATTACTCTTTTTCCTTGATGAGTTTTTGTTTATATTTGAGAGATTAAAAAAAATGACTGTGTTCCTTTTTGAAATACGCCTTTGAAAGCTGCGAATTAAGAATTTATCATGCTTTGAAGTATTACGGAAATGACAGGAATTACTTTTTTATTTTAACATATAATGGAATGGTGGTGTTGACACATCAAAGGGATAGATACCTACAAATGAGATATGGGCAAGTTTCCTTACTGCCTAAAACATACATAACATTTCAAAGAGATTGGATATTAGGAAAGTTTTATTTTTCTCCAAAGAAAAGTAGCTAATTTTTACATCACCACCTTTCGGGGCATGCAGAGGCTTTGAACAACTCAGATTTGTTCTGCCCGTCTGGAGGGCGCTTTCTCATGCACCACTTCATTTGATCCCTTTGACAGCCTTATCAGATAGACACAGGAGGTCTATTATCGCCATTTTACAGATGAGAAAGGGGAGACCCTTGATTCTCAGTGACTTGCCTAAGGATACGCAGGTAGAAAGCAGCAAACCTGAGACTGGAAACTGGGGTGCACTTTTTTCCCATCCTGCTGCTTGCCTGACTACTCTGAACTAGCTTATTTCGATGATGTCTGAAGACCTTCAGGTGACATAGACTATGCTTGTGCAGGCTCTTAGCTGCATAAACCCCTGGGTGCTTGATAGATTCTAAAATGACTTATTATTCAAGTATAAAATCCCATAATACGGTACTCTGATTTTTAAAAAAAAAGTGTGCAGTTGAATGTGGATGAAACCTCATGGTGATCTGGTGCGGGTGCTGAGATGCGCTCTGGCTCGGGAAGGAAGCACTCTTAGGTCGTCCTCTTCCCTAGACAGTGAAGCCCAAACTGGCCCCCAGTAGCAACATGGACTAATTTATTTCTTGATAAATTCTCAACAAGTGAGGATTGGATTTTTTGTCACTAAATATGATCTTGGAATGATCCTTACTAAATTCAGTATTTAGGATGACCTTTTGTACTTCTTTATAATTACTATCGAATGTTTCAGTAATGTGAAACCAAGTCTCAGACCTGTGTAAGGATTCTGTAGTCTTTGTTTAGTTTTCTTTTGTCTTTGTTTTCTTCCTCACTGTTCTTCCCTAACTCATAGGGCCATAGTATTTACCATTTATTTTTTATTGTTTTTATTTTTTTATTTTAGCATATCATGGGGGGTACAAGTGTTAAGGTTACATATATTGCCCATGCCCCCCTCCCCCCTTGAGTAAGAGCTTCAAGTGTGTCCATCCCCCACATGTTGCACATTTACTCATTGTAGTTGTATATACCCATCCCCTCCTCCCCTCTCCTACCTTCCCTGACACCTGATAAATGTTACTCCTATATGTCCACTTAGGTGTTGATCTGTTACATATTATTTACCATTTAAGAAAATTTTAGATCACCAACATTTTTAAATTTTCCGTAACGCTGGCAAGCTGGCGTTGTAGCTTGGCTGTGAGCAGCTCTGCCTCTGTCCTTCTTGCTGGGCATCCTGTGTTCTCGCTGTTGAGTTCATTCAGGCCCCCCCAGCCCCCAGCTCTGTAATATGTAATGTTTGTATAATAAGAATCTTTTGGTTTTCACATTTTATCCTAATCATTTGAAAATAAATAATTTCTGTATGTTTTTTTCTAGATTGAGATTGGAAGAGAGAAGAAAAGAGTTGCTACAGAAACTTGAAGAAACTACTAAATTAACGACTTATTTGCATTCACAACTTAAAAGGTAAGCCTGTTAGGTTCCTGAGGGGGAAATTTTCCTCTGTTCAGGTATGTTCTAGTTCTTTGATTACTTTTTGTTTTATTTTCAATTATTTAAAAGTACATATAAAAGAATAGTACAATTAATATTTGACTGAATTTAAAGTCACAGTAGATTCATTTTTTTCATGAACCCCCCCCAAGGTTATATTTGGAATACTTTTGAAATATGTTGTGGGAAGAAGATATGTTTTAGCTGTCAATACCTACTTAGGAAAATAACACATTTTACCCATCATCCCATCTTTTAAAAATAAGACAGGGTGGGATAGACTTGCCTTAAAATAGCCATAGATTTCCTTATATTAGTTAGAAAAATATTCAATATTTACTCCATAAATTCATACACAGAGAAGAGTAAGTGAACCCCAGGGTCTTTTGTGTAACCTCTTTGTTTCTATAACCTTTTTTCTCTAAAACTAAAAATGTTTTTTTAAAACAAAGCAACTGTATTAATATTTTATGCTTTTTATCCCTTTTGTTTCCCCCCTTTCAATATTTTTAAATTGCAAACTTGCTTCTGGATATCTATGCAAATAAATTTATCAATAGGTATTTGATCCTTTTTTTTAACTTTTGCAAAAGAAAGATTTTTTTTTTTTTTTTTTTTGAGACAGAGTCTCACTGTGATGCCCAGGCTAGAGTGCCGTGGCATCAGCCTAGCTCACAGCAACCTCAAACTCCTAGGCTCCAGCGATCCTTCTGCCTCAGCCTCCTGAGTATCTGGTACTACAGGCATGCGCTACTATGCCCGGCTAATTTTTTTTATATATGTTTAGTTGGCCAATTAATTACTTTCTATTTTTAGTAGACATGAGGTCTTGCTCTTGCTCAGGCTGGTCTCGAACTCTTGACCTTGAGCGATCCACCCGCCTTGGCCTCCCAGAATGCTAGGATTACAGCCTTGAGCCACCACGTCCCGCGAAAAGGAGGATAATTTTTAATAAGAATAGAACTGCTGCTTAAAGAGAGCAAGGTAGAAAATGTTAGTGAATAAACCTGGAAAAATATAGTAGATAGCCATACGCTGCTTAGTGATGTTTCAGTCAGGGGCAGACCACATATATGATGGTAGTCCCATAACATTATAATACCGTTTTTTTACTGCACCTTTCTATGTTTAGGTATGTTTAGGGACACAGACATTCACCATTGTGTTACAGTTGCCCACAGTATTCAGTAGTCAGATGCTGTACAGGTCTGTAGCCTAGGAGCAATGCGCTGTACCACATAGCCTAGGTGTGCAGTCGGCTGTGCCATCTAAATTTGTGTAAGTATATTCTACCATGTTCACACAACAATGAAATTGCCTAGCAATGCGTTTCTCAAAACATATCCCTGTGGTTATGTGACACCTGACTGTAATAGCAAGTTCCTCTGCCCCTGGTCATTGATTCTGTTCTTTGACAGCTTCCTTCCTTGTGGGGGTCTGAAGGAGCCAGTAGTAGGGGTTGTGATTGGCTTTTCCGTACAGTAACGGATTTTACAGTGCATGCTTTTCTCTCAGCCTCTCTGCCAGCACCCTGTCCATGTCGTCTGGGAGCAGCCTGGGTTCCCTGGCATCCAGCCGGGGCTCTCTGAACACCTCCAGCAGAGGGTCGCTCAACTCCCTGAGTTCCAGCGAGCTCTACTACAGCGGCCAGGGTGACCAGATAGACGTGGATTATCAGTATAGACTGGACTTCCTTCTGCAAGAGAAAGGTGGCTACATTCCTTCCGGACCCATCACCACCATCCATGAAAACGAGGTGGTCAAGTCCCCCGACCAGCCTGGCCAGAGCGGACTCTGTGGGGTGGCAGCTGCCGCAACAGGCCACACTCCCCTGCTGACTGAGGCCCCCAAGTCTGTGACCTCCCTGTCCTCGAGGTCCTCCCTCTCCTCCTTGTCCCCTCCGGGCTCTCCGTTGGTTCTGGAAGGCACGTTTCCCATGTCTTCTCATGACGCCTCTCTCCATCAGTTCACTGCTGACTTTGAAGACTGTGAATTGAGTAGCCATTTTGCAGACATTGGCCTTGGCGAAAATCAGATCCTGCTGGATTCTGATGCGGGAGGAGCGTCCCAGTCTCTCTTAGAGGACAAAGACCTCGGCGAGTGTGCTCGGGAGCCGCTCTATGAAGGAACCGCAGGTAAATGCACAGCTCGCTCCCACTTGCTTCCTCCTAATTGTTTAAGGTGAATGACTTGAGGCTTGAGGGTTACCTTTTCCGTATAGACAAATGGTGCCATTCCCCTTGTCTTTCTTCTGAGTAATCGTTTGGCTTCATTTAAGGAGATTTATTGATATACCTAGACATTTTTCTTTATCAAGTAAAAAATCGCCTTCCTTATTTAATAGATTTAATCATTTAGTAACTGTTCTGTTGTCCAGAGACCCTCTGTGTGCGGAGGTTGACGGGAACATGCTTTGCGAACACACTTCATACTTCCAAGTAGATTCTGGCTCTGAAATAGCAAGGCAGAGTAGAGGGCTTTCTTTTAAAACTTGGCCTAACACAGATTAAAACCAAGGCAATTAGCATACTAGCTAATTAGTACCAAGGTTCAATGTTTAGATTGCTCAGGGAATTCTATATAAATACAATTTTTGTTTCAAGCCAGAACTCTCCCTTTCTGCCTAAAGTTAATTTGGAGAAAGCAGGTTACAGTATGCGGTGTCACCCTGCCATCTTCTGGCCAGGTTAGCCATGGCAGCCCAAGGAGGAGATGGCGACAGATGAAGTCCTTATGTGCCTGCGTCTGTACCCAGGGACAGAAGCAAGGGGAGTTTCATTTTTTTTGTTTTCCTCTGCAAGACAGAAACTTTTAACATATTAGATATGGTTGTAAAGAGCATAAGATGGTACCCTTGTTGGCAGTGATCCCTCTGGTGGCCCGAAGAGGATGATCCATTCCAGAGCTAGCTTGAGGCGAAATGCTGGAATAAAAGCTCCGATGCTCACGTTAGTCCCGTTCAAATCTACACATGCGAACGTGTGTCCTTCCGCACAGAAGAGGACAGGCCTCTGCAGAGCTGTTCTCTTGCTGTTTTGAGAAGCATTTTTATTTTTATGTGTGGCCCGAGGAATTCTGAGTATTAATTGATTGGCCAATTCAGATGTTTAAAGACAGAGACTCCTGACTTGCTTCTGTGGTTTCAAATACTGAAGACTGGAGTCCTGTCTCCTGCCCGGGGCCTGTGGCAGAGGGTAGGGCGCGCGAGGCATCTGTGTGGTCCGTGTGCCCCCTCCTGGGGAGTTGTCACAGCTGCAAGTAACAGTCACGGAAATAAACACAGGAAAGCCAGCACGGGAATGGTGTGCACGTAATGGCTCCAGCAAAGGGAAAGCCACGTTGGGGCCTCACCTCCGCTTCTGGGAAGGAGGTGACAGTGTGTGGGAGGTGAGGGTGCGGCCGCCCCTGGAGCCAGCCAGGCTGTGCTCACGTTTCGTCACCGCCTCGACTGGCTGTGTTTTGAGGAGCGCACTGCCCAGTCTCTCAGGCCCGCTGTTGCTCATCTGCACAATGGGGGTGACGTGGTGACGCTGGGAGCATTAGTGTCCCAACGCATGTGAAGCATCTCACTGTGGCTGGCACTCGGCACGCAGCTCATAGTGGTAAATAATCATCGTCACCGTGTGACGATGATGGTGAGTAATACAAACTCTGCTAAATGTAGTTCCCGCCACACACCACTGAAATTTGTGAAGGAACAAAGAATGAGAGAAAGGAGAGAGTTTTCCTTTTTGCCATTCTTATGTACTTTTGACTTGAAAGATCTCACATTTCTCCAGCATTTCAGGCTGTTTTTGCTCTTCATGTATTCAGAGTGTTCTCTAGTGACCACTTCTCAACATTCACTCAATTTGGGGATCCAGTAAGGGAGGCCGATTGCTAGAGAAGGAGGGGGAACCGGCAAAGACATCCCCCAAGATCTGCCACCCACCCAGCCATCCCGACACCCTGAGATCCCTGGCCTGCAGGCGTCTTTGGTTGGTGGCTGCCTCGCTCCTGGCACTTGAGCTGCTACTGTGTCTGTCTGAGCAGTTCCCGGATGGAGACAGGTGTCTCTGAAATGTCTGTGAAACGGTTTTTAGCTTTTTCAATGAATATCGTATTAGAAAACTGCGGTTAAAAAGTCACCCTAAGGGGCTAGACGTGGTGGCTCATGACGTGGTGGCTCATGACTAGCACTCTGGGAGGCCAAGGCAGAAGGATCACTCAAGGTTAGGAATTCAAAACCAGCCTGAGCAAGAGCGAGACGCCGTCTCTACTAAAAAAAAAAATAGAAAGAAATTAATTGGCTAACTAAAAATATATAGAAAAAATTAGCCGGGCATTGTGGTGCATGCCTGTAGTCCCAGCTACTCGGGAGGCTGAGGCAGCAGGATCGCTTGAGCCCAGGAGTTTGAGGTTGCTGTGAGCTAGACGCCACCGCACTCTGGCCTGGGCAACAGAGCGAGACTCTGTCTAAAAAAAAAAAAAGAAAAGAAAAGAAAGTCACCCTAAGGGAAAATACATCCAAGGAGTTTGCTTGCAGATGATATTCAGTTGCTTGTCTGAAAACAACTGAAAGCACATATTTAACTGTAAGGACTGATTCTCTCAGGTCAGCAACGCTTGTTCCATGCAGGGGACGTCCGCCCTCCCTGTGCCCTGTTCATCTCCCTCCGTGCGCTGGAAGTCTTGGGCAGGTGAAGCCGAGCCCCTTTCACGTAAACTTCACTCTCCGGCACCAGGCCCTGCTGGATGACGGAAACTAAGTTGGAATAGCTACAGAGTCCTCCACAGTCAGTCTCTGTCACTGTCAAAGTCAATTTCAGGCTGCTGTGGTTATTCCTGGGGGTAATCAATAAATCATGTCACCACCTTCACCCCTCACAGAGGGGGCGAGGCGGAGAGAAGGCACTTCATCATCAAGGAGAAAGCATCCCCACCGCCAGCACTAAAAGGGAAAATGCGGCAATCAACCCTGTAGTCCTGAAGCCTTAAAACTTAAACATCTTAACAAGATGTGAAGTCACGACTCGGGAGGGGGCTGCAATGCATACTCACGCGGACCCCTGCACGCCGGCCCGCCGGAGGATGAAAGGCCTCCACGGGCAGGCGGCTTATCACAGCCCCGAACACGGCTCGCTGCAGGACGCTGGCGTATGAATATGAGTTACGGATGAAAGTTAAGTGGTAGTTGGTGCTAAAGATTTAGTAGCACAAAAAGTTTTTTTTTAATGATATTAGCTGGTGAGGGATTCCTGTAAGTCAAAGACTTTTTTTTTTCTTAATTTCTATCAGAGTAGCAGCAAAGGAGATGTAAAATATGGCATGCGGAGAGAAGGGTCGAAAGCAAAAAAGAGGTGGAAACCTTTTTTCCATTGAGTGGCCAGACACTGTGATAGAAATACCTCTATTACTTGAAGGAAGCAGATAGTTTCTTAACCCCCGAGTCTATGGTAACTGCAGTGAATGCTCGAAAGAGGCTCGGGACCAATGAGGACTTGTGTCATTCATCCCTTCCCTTGGAATATTTCAGGACAGAGAAAAGCCATGCTTTTTCCTAAATAATGACTGGAATAACTGGTGTCCCAGGAAACTTACGAGTCCTAGTGCCTTGAACTGCCCACCTCTGCTGATTTGAATGGTGGCCTCCTCTGTTCTCAGAAGGAAGTTTTATTTTGGGTTTCTCATGACCAAACTGTGTGTGTGTGTATCTTATTCTTAACATTTCCCAGTAAGAAACCCTAATTAGTGCTATCACTCTCCCCTCCATAGATGCTGAAAAATCATTACCAAAAAGAAGAGTCATCCACCTGCTCGGGGAGAAAACCACTTGCGTGTCGGCCGCCGTGTCTGACGAGTCTGTGGCTGGAGACAGCGGGGTCTACGAAGCTTTCGTGAAACAGTAAGGACTCGGCGGGGGCGCTTTCCGGCCGCCCCCTCCCCTCACAGCCGCACGTGTGGGTCGTGTGCTGTGAACGTGCTGTTGTCGTTGGTCCGCTCTTTGGAATAGGAAGGAAGGTAGCCGTTAAAGAAATCGTGTGCCTGAAAACTTCAGTGTACCAAAAACATCTCCTCAGCCATGCAAATGATAGACAAATTGGTATTACTCAGAGGTATACTCAGACCCTCTTAATAATTTTAAAAAAGAACTTGATTTGAGCGGGAATGTTGGAGTGATTCTCCAGTGCCTGTTTGGCATATGAAAGCTTCTCGTGTGTATTTCTGGAAGTGGAAGCCCGGACTGTCTGCAGGGGTGTGGTGTGCCCTAGTAAGGCTCAGGAAAGTCAGACATCAGAAAGTCTTTGCCCCAAAGCTCAGAGGCAGACTCTTCTTGAAAAGGTAAAGGAAGCTTCTAAAACCGTGAGCTTTCGCTGGGATTAGTTCCACTGGAATGGTATAGGAGTGCAGTTAATTCAGGTTTTCGTTCAAAATCATTAAGTGGCAAACAGTAACCGTAACAATCGATATCCCCATTAATTAACTGTTCGCCTACTCCCCGTCCCTAGGCCTAGTGAAATCGAAGACGTTACATACAGTGAAGAAGATGTGGCCATTGTGGAGACGGCCCAGGTTCAGATAGGACTCAGGTAAAGAAACGTGCCTGGGGGCAGGGTGGGGGGAGGGGGGAGGGGAAGTTCCGAAATCCGCGCAGTGACAAGTGGCCTGTGGTCATTCCTTCCTTCATCCCAGCTTCTCTTTTGACAGATATGATGCAAAAAGCTCAAGTTTCATGGTGATTATAGCACAACTTCGAAATCTCCATGCCTTCTTGATACCTCATACGTCAAAAGTGTAAGTAAAATTAGTAAAGAACCCAAAAGTTTACACATGGGATGATTTTACATTGTGATAAAGCGTGAAGATACGGGACAGGCACAGCAGGGTCTAAAGCAACGGTAGATGAAGAGAAAAGGAAAATGTGAGAAAGGTGTGTTGGGTTTTGGTTCTTTTTCAACTGATTCATTATTAAGAATAGGAACCAAGACTCTTTAATCTCTTTTTCAACCAGGAATTCTGTATTGTGCTATGTTGGGGCCTGGTTGTTTGAAATACAATTAAAGTTTTTGTTATTGTGCAATAGTTAACTACTGTTGGTTTGGAGGAATTTTCTGATCTTTTACATGAAAATGTAGTGGAATTTTATTTATCAGTACAGTATTGCCAATCAAGCATTTTATCATGCTTACATGTTTTTATCATCAAACTTTCACTTCCCTGTGAACAAAGAGTTCTTAAAGTTATTTCACTTCATCAAACCATTCAAAAGTAATGGCATCATGCTATTCAGTCCATTGCTTGGGGACTGTTTGTTTCGCAACAGTTGACTGTAGAGATCTTCACCACCATTCATACTTTCGGAGTCAGAATTTAAGGGCTGATGGCTGGGTGGTACCAGAATGAAGCCCTATTTTAACTTAGCACCTCTGACTTAGAATCCAGAATACACATGGCCACCTTGCAGTTAGCTTCCTATAAGAGGTAGATCTTAGTAATATTTTGAAAGTACTGTACAAGGGCTCGGAAATAAAAAAGAGCTATGGTGAGAGGTGACCCCTGAGACTCTATACCTAGCCAGGTGGATGTTTTTCTTAATGATAGAGCATGTTCTTCAATGAAAAGGACTTTTAACAGAAAAAATGTAAGAGTTCTCCATGTTTTTCCTAAGGTTTACTTTTAAGTTCACATCCTAACATTTCAAGAATTGTCAGAAAAAAGAAAATGGATTTAAGCAAAAAAGACATAGGTGGAGATTATTTAGTAGGCAGTGGAAGGATAGAGAATGGGACATGTCTGTGTTTTGATGAGCATTAGAGAGGAGTAGGATGGAGAGGAGTAGGATTCCAGGAGGGCGTGGGCTCAGAGGACTTCTCGAAATCAAGGCATGGGCCACCCGCGTTACCAGCAAGACCTGCAAAGAGCGGATGTAATGTGGGAGTGCCTAGATCACTACAGAGAGCCCACTTTCCAGGCCTGAAATTAAAAATACCAGTCAGCAGTATTCCGGGAAGACGGCTTGGTATCTGTGACTTCTCCCTACCAGTAAATATGCTGTGATGTTGGAGTGTGCTATCGTTGGCCTTTTTAGTAAGGCAGATTGGGGAGAAGACAAGTCTACCAGAGATTGACTCTGTGAACAGTGAAAACCAATTTACAAATCCAGGAGAAAACTGCAGAACGCCCCAAGAACACACACTTTCTTTAAACTCGTGTTACACAGGGTGCACCCACCCAAATGCTCCACCTCAACTTCACCAGTCACGGTCATTCTCACTTACCTCTTAGGAAGTCACAAAGTACCCTCTGGAGTGTGGTGACACCCTGGGTGGTTCAGGGCTAGTGGGAGCACTCGGCCCAGCTGCGAGTACAGAATGCTCTTTTGCTCCCCAGCTGGTGTGCGATTACTTGTCAGATTGGTCTGAACTTTCCTGACTTAACATAGCAACCTTTTCTTAAACCCATATATAAAAGCTTTTGCCTAAATAATGACACTGCTGAAAATGACAACTAGTTTGAAATATTCTTAAAATAGTTCTTTTTTTCTCCCTGCAACTTCAAAACTTCGTCTTTGGTTGCTAATTATGACAAGCAGAGTTTATGCTTTAGCTGGTTGACAGCAGCCTCAGTGGTTCTGTGAGTGGCTCAAGGCTTGCCTGACCGCAGTTTGGAGGCCCCCCATACACACACGCTCCTCCACGCCTACTGCAGGACGCAAGGAAGAGCTCTCCTGGCCTTCCCCGTGGCTTTGCCTCTTCACCATGTAAAATACAATTTTTAAAATAGGAAACATTTTTAAATCCCTGAAATGGTTAGGCCACTGGTATAGAGTAAAACGAAGCTGGAGAAACAGAAGATTCCCTCCCTCCACTCTGACTCTCTAATATACTTCTCCTCATTCCTTTCCCATGAACGCGGAGAAAAACATCTCCTCCTGCTGCATCTTCAGCCTCCCAGGCAGAGTGAGCTGTGTCCTAGTAAGGGTCCTACGTCAGTGGCGGTGGCCCAAGGCCCATGGCCCGCTAGGTTTTTAAGGCTGAATCTCCATAATTAATGGTGACATGAAATACAAAATAATAGGACCTTCCTCAGCTCTTCATTTGAATTTGTAGTTTTTCTAATTGGAGAAAGGCGTATTTTACAATATGAATTAGACAAGCCTGGAAATGGGGGTGGAGGAGGGTAGATTCAGCGGGTATTCTCCTAGAATTTAAAAGAAAACACCTCATGCTGTTTCTAAGAATTATGAGTCCTTATACAATGTGTACTCAGAAAACTCACTTTAAAGTTATATTAGAAGTTGTTTTTATATAACCTTTCCTCTGAATTTTACAAAGCACGAGACTCTTTTAAAACAGTTTGTCATATCTGAGACTTTGGAGATGCTAGACAATGATATTTTTGAACTGTTATTTCATCTGTTTTAAAATTTTCTTAACAATGTGCTACTTACTTAGCCTTTCTTTCTCTCTAGTAGGATAATGTTTTCCATTCCTGGGAAGTGATCATCAGCATCTCTTGTTTAATACTCAGGATGAGGATTCTTTGGGATAAAGTCATCAGTATCTACTTAGTGTGTTCCTACCTCCCTGGGCTCAGAAATAACTTATTTTGGAATTGGCTGTACATGGGGCAGGTGGGACGTTAAATTCATCTGCCCCACGGACTTTCTTCCTCTTCACTTTCCTATCATGTGCCTTTGCTGCAGTCCTGTGGTGAGTGGCAGGCTGGGCCATTGCATGCTCAGGGGCACAGTCGGCACGGGTGGGTTGAGAACAGAGCATCTATGCAGCTGAGCACGGACCCATTATGGCAGCAACACTTTAGGTTGATAAGAACTCCATGCTCTCTCATTTCCTGTCTTTTGCAGATAACTTCAAGTGATAGCTGTGAACCCAATATAAATGAAGTACCTATGAAATCCATTTTATTCTTGTTCTTTGCAGATATTTTAGGGTTGCTGTACTTCCCTCCTCAACTGATGTAAGCTGTCTATTTCGAACAAAAGTCCATCCACCCACAGAATCCATTTTATTCAATGACGTGTTCAGAGTGGCCATTTCGCAAACAGCCTTACAACAGAAGACACTGAGAGTCGATCTTTGCTGTGTCAGTAAACACCGGAGGGAGGAATGCCTGGTAGGATTCTTCGTAATTGCCATTATCAAATGACACTCACGATCGGATATTCTGAGAATGTATTTTTTGTTGTTATTTTGCCAGCCCTCGAAGCACTCCGAACCTGCCTAGCACCTTGGAACACATGCAAAGTTTGTTTCATTTTTTTTCTAAAGTAGTAGGTTTCTCTTCTTCATTCCCTCATTACAGAAATTTAAAATCTGCCTATAAATGGTGATTTTCTATAAAAGCTACTTTCCATTTATACCCTTTAACTACAGAAGGACTTGTAACTCTGTTACAACTATCACTTACGGAGCATGCTTATTACGCCCCCCATGCCAAGCCTTGTACTGAATGTCTGTATGTATTATCTCATGTAATCCTCATGGCAGTTGTATGAAAGGTTGAGTATGAAAGGTATGATTATCCGCTATTTTCAGATAAAGAGCTGCTTAGAGAGGTAGTATATCCTGGGTCACCCAGCTAGTGAATGTTGGGGCCAGACATCAAAAAGACATCCCCATATAATTCACTGTTACAAATCTAAATTAAGCAAGACATGGAGTGCTGTACAGTTCCTTTATTCAGCCCATTCTCCCCTGCCATGGTATTAGAGTTTCTAGGAAGACATAGTGTTACTATTTAGAGCAATATGATATTTAAATTCTACAGGAGAAGACTTCATACTTAACTAACAGTGAGTCTAACACACCATTGTGCATAATGACCAGAAAATCATTACGTCCCAGTAAAGTTATATCTGTGTTCAAACTGGCATCTAGAGGTGTGCCTCTGTGTTCCAAAAACAGTGAGAGTCTCCAGTTGAGCTATTCCCTGCAGTCCAGTGGAAAGCACAGAAATAGGCGTGTTTCATGATAAGCAAAGTTTAAAAGGGTGATAAGTTTCTTCTTAATTTTTTCTTTACTTGAAAAAAAATGTTTCATAATATTGCCCGACAAGAAAGAAAGAAGCAGAGATAATATACTTGTTAGGCTATCAGAAAGGATTTAGTATATTAAATGCCATATTTAGTATAATATATGTCAAAGGCTCCAATAAAGTTATAAAATGTGTTAATTGATAGCTTTTAAATAATTGTATGATTGAATTTAGATTCTTACTTTTTGTGATTTGGTGAAATATGAAAGCCTTAAATATTTACTTTTCCTGACATTCTACTATCTTCCATATCCAAAGAAAAATTTTGCTGTCTGATTTCTCATTCAAGAACCTAAGTGGAGTTTTCAATTGTTTGTTTTAAATTTTTCAGTGGATAATGGTTATTTATAGTAATCAAATTGTAGCACATTATAAAAAGTACTATGGTTTGGGCTTAGTTACTCATTTTTATTTTTTAACTCTTCATTTGAAAGTAATTTCATGTTTACAAAAAAGTTACATGCTTAGGCATTAGGTGTTGGCAAAATAGTATCTGTATAATCCCTGGATTGACTTTTAGATTGGGAGTTATTTCTTACAGCTGAAAATAGATTATCTCTGGGTCTTAAAAAATCTACCAGTGCTTTGCTTCATTAGTATTGTATCTGTTTTTACCCTAAAACAAGCTCACACAGTAACATTTATTATATCAGAGAGAACAAAGACTAATTTAAACATTTTATTTTCTCTGTTTACTTTTTTCCCTTTGTTTTCTTTCATTTACATAGGCTGGAACTCAGATCAGCCTGGCAGATTTACCATTTTCCAATGAGATTTTCACTCTATGGTATAACTTACTTCCTTCCAAGCAAATGCCTTGCAAAAAGAACGAAGAAGAAAATGAGGACTCTGTATTTCAACCAGACCAGCCACTAGTAGACTCCATAGACTTGGTGAGTCAGATTTGCAGAACAGAGTCATTAGAATGTGATGAAGTCATATGAAACACAGAATGCTGTGAGACCAGTGTGTTCTCCTTCACTTTCATTGTCCTTCCTTCTCCCCTTTCATAGCTTTACCCTTTTCTCCCAGCTTCCTAAAAAAAAAAGGAAAGATAATTTCCAGGTTTGTTTCAAGTATGATTTATAAAAAAAAATCATTCTTTTCTGTTCACACATCCTTGTAAAAATAAACTGACGTAGGAGACTTCATTGTTTTAAGTGATCACAGAAAACCTTTTGATTTCACATTATGTTTTCATACAGTGCGATCACATTGTTTGATACCACTGTCACGTTATGTGTTTGGCACTTTCTGAAACCTTGAAATTATTAAACCTAAACACTGTGTTAGTTTTTCATTTGTAGTATCAATGGCCATAAAGTGTTTTCTATTAAAATGTTTCTTGTAACCAACAGTCATACTTCAATACAGTACTTCCAAAAATTTACAAAGGGGGATTTTGTAAGGCCATTCATCACTAATTTGACATTAGTGGCTATTGTTACTGACTGTAGTCTAATTGTTGATACTTTTACTATTTGTAAGATTTCCTCTTTTTGGCTGGGTGCAGTGCTCATACCTGTAATCCTAGCACCCTGGGAGGCCAAGGCAGGAGGATCTCTTGAGGTCAGGAGTTCAAGACCAGCCTGAGCAAGAGGAAAAGATATTAATTGCCCAACCTAAAATATAAGAAAAGTTAGCCGGCCATGGTCGCATGCCTGTTCCCAGCTACTGGAGACTGAGGTAGGAGGATCGCTTTAGCCCAGGAGTTTGAGATTGCTGTGAGCTAGGCTGATGCCACGGCACTCTGGCCTGGGCAACAGAGTGAGACACTGTCTCAAAAATAAATAAATAAATAAATAACATAAAAATTAGCCTAGCACAATTGCACTTGCCTATAGTCCCAGCTACTGGGGAGGCTGAAGCAGGAGAGGATCGCTTGAGCCCAGGAGTTTGAGGTTGCTGTGAGCTATGATGATGCCACTGCACTCCAGCCCAGGATGACAGAATAAGACTGTCAAAAAAAAAGGATTTCTCTCTTTTTTTTTTATTGTGTTTTCACCCTGATTTGCTGATGTGGTCTTTGTGTTTATACTAGTGAAATTCTTCATCATTTCAATTTATTTGTACATATTAATTATAAAATTTAAAATACCTGTAGTGTACAGATCACCTGTGGGGTCTCTCTCTTTTGCCTGTCGTTTCTGTCATATGTCATGATAGCATGCTAAATGTTATGTATGAGTTTATCTGGCTGATATCTTCCCCAGAGGCGATTTCCTATTCTTCTGCAAGGCAAATTACAATATGGAAGATTGCCTGAATCACTTGGGAATGTGAATTCAATTTTCTCTCCCTAGGACCATATGAGACACCTGAATTTTATGCCTTTACCATTTAGCCTCTTAGCAGCTGGGTTTTTGCTTTGTTACTCAGCTTCTCTGTGCACAGAGGCAGCTTAGAAACAGCAAATGCCCTGACAGGAATGTCATGCAGAATGGGCCCACTTTACACTTCATTGTCTCAGGCACTTGTGGACTGAGCTGTAGTCTTCCCATCCTCCGGACACTGCCTGGTTCTAGGCAGCCACCAGTCCGTTGGCCTGCATGCCTCACTACTAGAATTGGGATGAAATGGCAGTTAATTCTCCTCATTGTATTTCTCTTCTATCTGGGATCTTGGCTCTCTAGTCCTAATTGCCTTTGTTGCTCTGGATTGCTTTAAAACATCTGAGAGTTTTTATTGTTTGGTTTTTTTTTTAATTGTATTCAGCATTCATATTGTTCTCAGCAGGAGAGTTGAGTCCGTTACAAGCTGCTTCTTCACAGCTGGAATATAAGCCCCATCTGATGAGTTTTAAATCATTTCTCCAAGTATATGATGTTAATTGCCGTATGTTTTACATTCTCTAGGATGCAGTGTCAGCCCTGCTTGCAAGAACATCGGCTGAGTTGTTGGCTGTGGAACAAGAATTAGCACAAGAAGAAGAGGAGGAGGAACCAGGGCAAGAAGAAGAGCAAAGGGGTCCAGATGGAGATTGGTAAAGCAGTTACTTCCTTTTGCTTTGGGCACTCAAAGAGCATGTGTTTAGTCTAATAAGAAGCTTCCAGTGAAAATTCGTTAGTTTGTATTTTACCGTGAATCATGGAAGGCAATGTGGCTTCAAGCAGTGTCGCCAGGGAAAGTCTCTCTTTGGTCATCAGAGAGTTGAAGGATGTAACAGCAAGATTGCGGGCAAAGTTAACACATTGGCCAGATTCTGTGTTCTCATTTTCAATTGTTAAACACTGTTTTCTGAGCTTTTTCTGTCTCAAAAAAAAAATAAATAAATAAAAGTAATTCTAAGCTATCAATTTTGGAAGATAAGGTAGCTTATTGTAGAGTCATAGATAAATTGAAGAGTGACTCTCTTTTAAAAAAAAAAAAAACTATTCAGAAGTGCCATTTAGCCTCAGGTAAGACAAACAGAGCCTTTAGCAAACAGCTTCTGAGTAGTCATTTCTCGGTTACTACTTTCATCTTCTTTTTCTGTTTTCTTCTCTATGTCTATATCTTACCCTTTAAAAGGGGAGGAAGGGTGTAGGGGAGGTTATCATAGATTTTGTCCAGACTCATGTATATATAAAGAGCTGTCTTTCGTACTGTTTTCTCTAAAAACAAATGTTAGTGAACACTTAATTTTTAAAGTATATACATAAAATCATTTAGATTAATTTTTTATATATAATTGCTTAAACTATTATGTTTAGCTGAACTACTGTTAACATATACATGTATATACATAAATAACATGTATTTGTGTGTATGTATATATATACAGAAAACTATTTAGAAACTCATAGTGACAAAGTATATTGTAAATAACACAGTCATGGGTGTTTAGAAGGAAGAGCTACTACAGTGGTGTAAAAAATGCAGATATACTTTGTGCTTTTCAAAAGCTCTTCATAGTAAATAAAAATCAGCACTGCAAAACAAATATGACAGTAATTATAGGGTTCATCATAGTATCTTTAAATACTAAGCTTTCCTCATATATATAAAATACAATTTGTTTCACATATATTTCAAAAAAATAAACTTGGTGTGTAAATGAAGGGATTTATAATTCATAGTAGTCATTGCTGATTCCTCTTGTATTCATTTCATGACTAGACATTTCTTACCTAGCTGGTGCAGATTTGTCAGTTTGTTACCAATCTCCATCAAAGCTAGACATTTAGTATATTTAGTAATAAGTGGAATAAATGTTTCTATTCTGAGAACATGAAACTCAACAAAGCATGAGGCATTTTAAACTATCCTAGTACTCTTGTATAATGTATTCTGTATAAGCTGTATTTATATTCTGAAGCACCACTTGTAATGTCTGTCACCCAAGCTCATGCCATGGCTTTTGTTAATGATGAGATCACGTGGCATTAAGAGTCCTCTGTTGGTTAGTAGTAAAACTCCCTTAACACAGGTTACTCCCTGCTGGACTGTGAGCACAGTCAATAGTAGGTATTTTAACTCTTTATGTCTTTATTGACTCTTGGCTGAGAGCAACTCCACTCTGTTATATGATTAATTTTATAATAAATTAACAACTAATACCAAGTTATTTTATAGTGGGTGTCAATATTTTTAAATGCTGAGATTAAACTTTTATATATGATTTTCAGAATGTTTCTATTTTAACATCTGGAAATTAGTTTACATTTCATGAGTTTAACTTTTTGGTACCACATTATGGTGATTTTGCTGCAGGTTGCTAGAGAGTAAAGGGAGAACTTTATTTTTATGAGACATTTAGTTAAAAGTACAAGAAATGGCTTGGATGATTCTGTGTGACTCTGTTGTTTATTTCTCAGCCAGTGGGTTGACATGCCGGGTTGCGCTGTTCATAACCATGCCCGCTTGACCAAAAGTGTGTTTTGCTTCTGTTTTATGTCGTTTCACCGTAGGTTAACAATGCTAAGAGAGGCCTCTGATGAAATCGTGGCTGAAAAAGAGGCTGAAGGCAAATTGCCAGAGGGCAGTAGCTGTACAGAAGACTTAAGTTCGTGCGCCAGTGTGCCTGAGATGAACGAAGACAGGAGCAGGAAAGAAAACGACTGTGCCAAAGACCTCAGGAGTCAGCCGCCCGCTGGAACACCAACCTTGGTGAGTATCCATCTGTGCCATCCTAAAACAGACGTCCCATAGGCACGTGTACACCAGGGAGATGCTTGTTTGTCTCTTCAGGTCCGTCCACGTTAGGATTTTGTGCCGAAAGCTGGCCATGAAAGGCGTTTGTGGGAGGAGGCTCTAAGATGCATTGTAAATGCTTTAACATTTTTAAATGGACCCAGGATATTAAATCTCCACTTATATTTGATGTAGGAATAGAAATAGTACCAGCTACCTTAAATCTCTTTAAATAGTCTGGGAATATTTTTTAAACATTATTTTCTGAATTTTTTGTTTAACAGCAGGATGACTACCTAATTCATATATGTTGTAAGTTTATTTCCATTTGGAACGTGGAGTAAACATTCTAAGTTCATTTTGGTTAGCTGGTGTTCTGATTGAAGTCTCCTCTGTGGCTGGTGACTGGGTTTAGGCACAGGTGCTAACCAAGTTATTAAACAGGTAGTTTTGCTGGTTGAGTGAGAGATGTGTTGAGATTGCCATCCCCAAATAGGGAAGATGATTTATTTGCAAGCCTTGAGGATGCTAGCACACTTGGGATGTTGGTAACGGAGTTTAGAAAACTCTGTTTATTCCTAAGAAAATAGTATTATACCCTGACTGACTGAGGACTTCTTTTACAAAGGTGCAAATTTTCATCAAGAGCCAGGTTTGGAATCAGTTGATACCTATAAGATAAAAAATAGACATCTGCCTATGCCTACCAAGTTTATAGTTTGAGAACTTTCTATTTTTACTTGAATTTTGTTTTTTGTTGCATTTCCAAAGATCCAGTAAAAATCCAAACTCAGCTTCATAACAGTTGTTACATTCATATGTGTATAATTGCATATTACATTTAAATCTACAACTTTGTGATACATTTTCATTTTCTTATATTTAATTATTTATTATTGTTTATTCTGAAAAAAGTTTAATCAGCATGCTGAATAAAGTTTAACGATGATATATTCCCAAATGGGATTCTTTATAGATCCTCTCTGAAACTAAACCTTCATTTCTGTTTAACCTGTTGGAGGTGGTCCCTCTGTTTATGGGCAGCCCCGTTGGGTGGGTATCATCCATCCTACCCATGTGGTCACTTCCCGAGAACTCAGTAGAAAACCTTTCCCCCCAGTTGCCTGTTAGAAGTGCTGTGTTCTGCGATGCGAAGCCTTTCTCTCAGGAGTGGCCCTATTGTTAGATGAGTCTCTGCTGTGACATTAGATATTTCTTTCTTTCTTACAAGAGCATAAACGTATACACATCTGTTCGCTCCTGAGGAATCAATAACTTCTCTTGTAGGTTGACAAAGAGACAAATACTGACGAAGCAGTTAACGACAGCATGGCGGTTCGCCCCAAAGACCGCAGCAGCCTAAGCTCCCGACAGCACCCCTTTGTGAGGAGCAGCGTGATCGTGCGCTCACAGACCTTCTCCCCGGGAGAGCGGAACCAGTACATCTGCAGGGTAAGGTGGCCGCGCTCGCAACCGGGCGCCGGCCTGCGGCTTCTCCCCTCGGCCAGCGAGCGGCCCGCTAGGACAAGAGCCGGTGCCTTGGGAATCTTCACACGCTGACCACAAAGGCCGATGGCTGCTTATGCTATAAAATATGCATGCATTATGTTCCTGTGGCCCTTCTTAGTTGTTTCCCCCTAAATTTAATATCTCATTGGTTCTAATGTGACTTACTTGGCAAGTAAATGAAGTTAAAGGATCTGGCTGCTAAGTACACATATTTGGACTTCAATCTGTATTTAGAAATACAAAGTGACTTTTGAGATATATGTATATTTCTGCTCTATCATACATGCTCCAAACCACGTTAGTCTGTCTGGACCAGAAATTTCATGAGGCGAACATGATAACCCATACACTGTGGAAACCGCTAAACTAGAAATTGTGGGTTGGCTTTTAGAGCAGAAATCATCTCTCAATAATGCTTCTAGGCACTGAACCAGATTCATAGTTCTGCGAAGGAAATTGTGGGATTTGCATCAATTTCCCAAATTCTAATTCTAAAAGTGTTTATGATTTATTTTATAAAATAGAGTTAATATTATAAAATGGGTTTAGAAATACTTTTAAAATTCTAAATTTATTCATTCAGTTCAACAAATATTTTTAATAAGCACTCGCTGTTAAGCACTTTCGTATGTACTTGGACTTCATCTAGAGATGAGAGGCCCAGAGCCTGCCCTTGCAGAGCTTACGTTGCTGTGAGTTAGCCAGACGGTGAGCAGTAGATACGATAAGAAAGTCCCTCTTTGGCATCAGAGAGTTGAAGGATGTAACAGCAAGATTGTGGGCAAAGTTAACACATTGGCCAGATTCTGTGTTCTCATTTTCAATTGTTAAACACTGTTTTCTGAGCTTTTAAAAGTAATTCTAAGCTATCAATTTTGGAAGATAAGGTAGCTTATTGTAAAGTCATAGATAAATTGAAGAGTGACTCTCTTTAAAAAAAAAAACTATTCAGAAGTGCCATTTAGTCTCAGGTAAGACAAACAGAGCCTTTAGCAAACAGCTTCTGAGTAGTCATTCTCGGTACTACTTTCACCTTCTTTTCTGTTTTCTTCTCTATGTCTGTACCTTACCCTTTAAAAGAGGAAGGGGTGTAGGGAGGTTATCATAGATTTTTCCAGACTCATGTATATATAAAGAGCTGTCTTTCCTGGTCGTACTGTTTCTCTAAAAACAAATGTTAGTGAACACTTAATTTTAAAGATATACATAAATCTTTAGATTAATTTTTATATGTAATTGCTTAAACTATTATGTTAGCTGAACTACTGTTAACATATACATGTATATACATAAATAGCATGTATTGGTGATGTATATTATACAGAAAACTATTAGAAACTCATAGTGACAAAGTATATTGTAAATAACACAGTCATGGTGTTTTAGAAGGAAGAGGTACTACAGTGGTGTAAAAGAGGCAGATATACTTTGTGCTTTTCAAAAGCTCTTCATAGTAAATAAAAATCAGCACTGCAAAACAATATGACAGTAATTATAGGGTCATCATAGTATCTTTAAATACTAAGCTTTCCTCATATATATAAATACAATTTGTTTCACACATATTCAAAAAAAACACTTGGTGTGTAAATGAAGGAATTATAATTCATAGTAGTCATTGCTGATTCTCTTATATTCATTTCATGACTAGACATTTCTTACCTATGGTGCAGATTTGTCAGTTTGTTACCAATCTCCATCAAAGCTAGACATTAGTATATTTAGTAATAAGTGGAATAAATGTTTCTATTCTGAGAACATGAAACTCAACAAAGCATGAGGCATTTTAAATCTATACTTTATAATGTATTCTGTATAAGCTGTATTTATATTCTGAAGCACCACTTGTAATGTCTGTCACCCAAGCTCATGCCATGACTTTTGTTAATGATGAGATCACGTGGCATTAAGAGTCCTCTGTGGTTAGTAGTAAAACTCCCTTAACACAGGTTACTCCCTGCTGGACGTGAGCACAGTCAATAGTAGGTATTTTAACTCTTATGTCTTTATTGACTCTTGGCTGAGAGCAACTCCACTCTGTTATAAGATTAATTTTATAATAAATTAACAACTAATACCAAGTTATTTATAGTGGTGTCAATATTTTTAAATGCTGAGATTAAACTTTTATATATGATTTTCAGAATGTTTCTATTTTAACATCTGGAAATTAGTTTACATTTCATGAGTTTAACTTTTGGTACCACTTATGGTGATTTTGCTGCAGGTTGCTAGAGAGTAAAGGGAGAACTTATTTTTATGGACATTTAGTTAAAAGTACAAGAAATGGCTTGAGATTCTGTGTGACTCTGTTGTTTATTTCCCAGCCAGTGGGTTGACATGCCGGTTGCGCTGTTCATACCATGCCCGCTTGACCAAGCCCAGGATGACAGAATAAGACTGTCTAAAAAAAAAAAAGGATTTCTCTCTTTTTTTTTTTAATTTTTGTTGTTTTCACCCTGATTTGCTGATGTGGTTTTCTTTGTGTTTATACTAGTGAAATTCTTCATCATTTCATTTATTTTTTGTACATATTAATTATAAAAATTTAAATACCTGTAGTGTACAGATCACCTGTGGGTCTCTCTCTTTTGCCTGTCGTTTCCGTCATTATGTCATGATAGCATGCTAAATGTTATGTATGAGTTGTATCTGGCTGATATCTTCACCCAGAGGCGATTTCCTATTCTTCTGCAAGGCAAATTACAATATGGGAAGATTGCCTGAATCACTTGGGGAATGTGAATTCCAATTTTTCTCTCCCTAGGACCATATGAGACACCTGAATTTTATGCTTTACCGTTTTAGCCTCTTAGCAGCTGGGTTTTTGCTTTGTTACTCAGCTTCTCTGTGCACAGAGGCAGCTTAGAAACAGCAAATGCCCTGACAGGAATGTCATGCAGAATGTTGGGCCCACTTTACACTTCATTGTCTCTGGGCACTTGTGGACTGAGCTGTAGTCTTCCCATCCTCCGGACACTGCCTCGGTTCTAGGCAGCCACAGTCCGTTGGCCTGCATGCCTCACTACTAGAATTGGGATAAGAATGGCAGTGACTTCTCCTCATTGTATTTCTCTTCTATCTGGGATCTTGGCTCTCTAGTCCTAATTGCCTTTGTTGCTCTGGATTGCTTTAAAACATCTGAGAGTTTTTATTTGTTTGGTTTTTTTTTTTAAATTGTATTCAGCATTCATATTTGTTCTCAGCAGGAGAGTTGAGTCCGTTACAAGCTTCTTCTTCACAGCTGGAAATATAAGTCCCCATCTGATGAGTTTTTAAATCATTTCTCCAAGTATATGATGTTAATTGCCGTATGTTTTACATTCTCTAGGATGCAGTGTCAGCCCTGCTTGCAAGAACATCGGCTGAGTTGTTGGCTGTGGAACAAGAATTAGCACAAGAAGAAGAGGAGGAGGAACCAGGGCAAGAAGAAGAGCAAAGGGGTCCAGATGGAGATTGGTAAAGCAGTTACTTCCTTTTGCTTTGGGCACTCAAAGAGCATGTGTTTAGTTTCTAATAAGAAGCTTCCAGTGAAAACTTTGTAGGTTCGTATTTTACCCTGGAATCATGGAAGGCAATGTGGCTTCAAGCAGTGTCGCCTGAGAGGAAAGTCTCTCTTTGGTCATCAGAGAGTTGAAGGATGTAACAGCAAGATTGCGCAATATGTTATTCAATGGCCAGATTCTGGTTGTTTCTTTTCAATTGTTATAACACTGTTTCTGAGTCTTTTTATATATTGTTATTATTTTCTACTCTATTATCTTATGTCTGTATTGTTTCTTGGGGTGCCATAAAATAATAAATAAATTATATTTTTATAATATAATTAAGTATATTCTATTTGTTTATCATTTGCAAACAAGGTAGCTTATTTTAGAGTCATAGATATTAATTTGAAGAGTGACACTCTCTTTTAAAAAAAAAAACTGATTCCAGAATGCCATTTAGTCTCATGTTAAGACAAACAGAGCCTTTAGCAAACAGCTTCTGAGTAGTTCCATTTCTCGTTATACTTGCCACTCTTCTTTTTTCTGTTTCTTCCTCTATGTCTGTACCTGTAACCACTTTAAAAGGTGGAAAGGAAGGGTGTTAGTGTGAGGTTTATATTTAAATTTTTGTCCAGACTCATGTATATTTATAAAGTGAGCCCTATCTTTTCTGGTTCGTACTGTTATTCTCTAAAAACTATAATGTTAGCTGAACGTTCTTTCTTTTTTTCTCTTTAATTTTTATAAAATGTAGTATACATACCTTAATATATCTTACGATTATTTTTTATCATATTTTATATTTGCTTATAAACTTATTATGTGTAGCTGAACTACGTGTTATACATATACATTGTATATACATAGAATAACTATGTTTTTGTTGTTTGTTATTTTTTATTTTGTTTTTTTTGTATTCACAGAAAACTATTTTAGAAACCCATAGTGACAGAGTATATTGTAAATAACACAGTTCATGGGTTGTTTAGAAGGAAGAGCCTACTACAGTGGTGCTTAAAAGAGGCAGATATACTTTGTGCTTTCCAAAAGCTCTTCATTAGTATAATAAAAATGCATTCTACTCTTGGCATAATACAATGAACCAGTAATTCATAGGGTTCATCATGTATTCCTTTAAATATTAAGCTTTCCATTATATATATTGTTTTTTTTCAAATCACAATTTGTTCACATCATACAAAAAATGCACTTGGTGTGTAATGAAGGATTTATTTGAATTTTCATAGTAGTCAATTTGCCTCGATTCCTCTTGTATTCATTTGCATGTAGATCATGTTTCTTTACACTAGCTGCGTGTCACGAATTTGTCAGTTTGTCTACAATTCCATCAAAGCTCAGACATTTAGTCATGATTTAGTATAATAAGTGGATAGTTAAATGTTCTATTGCTGAGAACTATTTGTAACTCATACAATGCATGGGCATTTTTGAAGCCTTAATAAGTATTCCTGTATTATCCTTGTTTGTTCTTGTATTTTTTTTTTTTTTTTTTTTATGTTATTGAATCACCTACTTTGTTAATTGTTCGTTTAGCTTTTTTCCAGCTCTTATTGTCTCTCCTATTTGTGCTTTTGTTAGATGATGAGATCTATCTTGGGCATTTATATTTTTTGGTTCCTCTGTTAGGTTTATAGTTATATTAATCCCCTTTAACTTATCATAGGTTTATTTTTTTTCTGCTTTTTGTGAACTGTTGTAGTCTATCTATTTCAATTTTTTAGTTTAAGGTTTATTGTTAACTCTTATATTGTCTTTATTGACTCGTTGCTGAGATGCAACCCCACTGCACTGTTTTATTATTTGTATTTAATTTTATAATTTATAAATACAACTAAATATCTCATAAGTATTTTATCAAGTGGGTCATTATTTTCTTTTTAAATGTGAGATGAAACTTATTATATTGATTTTTCCAGAATGTTCTATTTAATCTTTATCTGGTTATTTATTAAGTTTTTTTATCTATTTTTTTTTCTATTTATGAGTTTACTTTTTTGGTACCACCATATGTGATTTTGCTGCAGTCTAGAGTGGTGAGTAAGAGGGAAAACTTTATTTCTATGAGACATTTAGTTAAAAGTACACGAAATGGCTTGGATGATTCTGGTGACTCTGTTGTTTATTTCCCCAGCCAGTGGTTGACATGCCGGGTTCGCTGTTCATCGCACCATGCCCGCTTGACCAAAAGTGTGTATTTTGCTTCTGTTTATGTCGTTCACCGTAAGTTAACAAATAGCTAAGAGAGCCTCTGATGAAATCATGGCTGAAAAAGAGGCTGAAGGCAAATGCCAGAGGGCAGTAGCTTGTACAGAAGACTTAAGTTCGATGCGGCCAGTGGCCTGAGATGAACAGAAGACAGGAGCAGGAAAGAACGACTGTGCCAAAGACCTCAGGAGTCAGCCGCCCGCTGGAACACAACCTTGGTGAGTATCCCATCTGTGCCATCCTAAAACACGACCCGTTAGGCACGTGTACACCAGGGAGATGCTTGTTTGTCTCCTTCAGGTCCGTCCACGTTAGGATTTTGTGCCAAAAAGCTGGCCATGAAGGCGTTTGTGGGAGGAGGCTCTAAGATGCATTGTAAATGCTTTAACATTTTTAAATGGACCCAGATATTAAATCTCCACTTATATTGTGATGTAGGAATAGAAATAGTACCAGCTACCTTAAATCTCTTTAAACGTCTGGGAATATTTTTAAACATTATTTTCTGAATTTTTGTTTAACAGCAGGATGACTGACACTAATTCATATATGTTGTAAGTTTATTTCCATTTGGAACGTGGAGTAAAACATCTAAGTTCATTTTGGTTAGGCGTGGTGTTCGATTGAAGTCCTCCTCTGTGGCTGATGACTGGGTTTAGGCACAGGTGCTAACCAAGTTATTAAACAGGTAGTTTTGCTGGTGAGTGAGAGATGTGTTGAGATTGCCATCCCCAAATAGGGAAGATGATTATTTGCAAGCTTGAGGATGCTAGCAGCACTTGGATGTTGTAACGGAGTTTAGAAAACTCTGTTTATTAAAGAAACAGTATTATACCCTGACTGACCTGAGGACTTTTTTACAAAGGTGCACATTTCATCAAAGAGCCCAGGTTTGGAATCAGTTGATACCTATAAGATAAAAAATAGAACTCTGCCTATGCCTACCAAGTTTATATTTTGAGAACTTTCTATTTTACTTAAATTTTGTTTTTTGTTGCATTCCAAAGATCCAGTAAAAATCCAAATTCAACTTCATAACAGTTGTTATATTCATATGTGTATAATTGCATATTACATTTAAATCTACAACTTTGTGATACATTTTCATTTCTTATATTTAATTATTATTATCGTTTATTCTGAAAAAAGTTTAATCAGCATGCTGAATAAAGTTTACCGATGATTATTCCAAATGGGATTCTTATAGGTCCTCTCTGAAACTAAACTCATTTCTGTTTAACCTGTTGGAGGTGGTCCTCTGTTATGGCCAGCCCGTGGTGGTATCATCCATCCTACCCACTGTGGTCACTTCCCGGAGAACTCAGTAGAAAACCTTTCCCCGCAGTTGCCTGTTAGAAGTGCTGTGTTCTGCGATGCGAGCCTTTCTCTCAGGAGTGGCCTATTGTTAGATGAGTCCTGTTGTGACATTAGATATTTCTTCCTTACTTACAAGAGCATAAACGTATACACATCTGTTCGCTCCTGAGGAATCAATAACTTCTCTTGTAGGTTGACAAAGAGACAAATACTGACGAAGCAGTTAACGACAGCATGGCGGTTCGCCCCAAAGACCGCAGCAGCCTAAGCTCCCGACAGCACCCCTTTGTGAGGAGCAGCGTGATCGTGCGCTCACAGACCTTCTCCCCGGGAGAGCGAACCAGTACATCTGCAGGGTAAGGTGGCAGCGCTCGCAACCGGCGCCGCTGCGGCTTCTCCCTCGGCAGCGAGCGGCCCGCTAGGACAAGCCAGTGCCTTGGAATCTTAACCCGCTGACCACAAAGGCCGATGGCTGCATATGCATAAAATATGCATGCATTATGTTCCTGTGGCCCTTCTAGTGCTTCTCCCCCTAAATTTAATATCTCATTGGTTCTAATGTGACTTACTTGGCAAGTAAATGAAGTTAAAGGATCTGGCTGCTAAGTACACATATTTGGACTTCAATCTGTATTTAGAAATACAAAGTGACTTTTGAGATATATGTATATTTCTGCTCTATCATACATGCTCCAAACCACGTTAGTCTGTCTGGACCAGAAATTTCATGAGGCGAACATGATAACCCATACACTGTGGAAACCGCTAAACTAGAAATTGTGGGTTGGCTTTTAGAGCAGAAATCATCTCTCAATAATGCTTCTAGGCACTGAACCAGATTCATAGTTCTGCGAAGGAAATTGTGGGATTTGCATCAATTTCCCAAATTCTAATTCTAAAAGTGTTTATGATTTATTTTATAAAATAGAGTTAATATTATAAAATGGGTTTAGAAATACTTTTAAAATTCTAAATTTATTCATTCAGTTCAACAAATATTTTTAATAAGCACTCGCTGTTAAGCACTTTCGTATGTACTTGGACTTCATCTAGAGATGAGAGGCCCAGAGCCTGCCCTTGCAGAGCTTACGTTGCTGTGAGTTAGCCAGACGGTGAGCAGTAGATACGATAACCAGGCTGTGAGGTATCTGGATGGGGGTCGAAACAGTATGGAAACAGCTGAGCAGGTTAAGAGGCTTGGGAGTGATAGGGAGGGTGCGGGCAGGCTTCGCGGATGAGGTGGCTTTTCAGCAAGGCCTGAACCAAGCAAGAGTATGAGCATGGCTGTCTGGACACAGCCCTTCCCCCTAGCACAGACTACGGCTTAACCCTGACCTTTAGCTCTGTGCTGTGTGCAAAGCTTTCTTTACAGAACAGATATCACATATTAAGTAAAAATGCAAAGGATAATTTTATTTCAAAAAATGTGGAAATATCTTAGCATATGACTTTTTATTAACTGCTACCAAAAGGCAGTTGTTTAAATTATTTAAGAAAATGAAGTTATTTAAGAAAAGCATAGAACGGGGGGGAAAACCTTGTTTGGGAGGGTTTTCTTTAAAGGAATAAACTTGTATTATCACTACCTGCTTCATTCAGGAAACTTCTCAGTTCCAAACTTCTACTTGCACTTATGTTCTTATGCAGTGATTTTTTTTTTTTTTTATGTTTGTTGCCAGTTAAATCGGAGTGACAGTGACAGTTCGACCCTGGCTAAAAAGTCACTGTTTGTGAGAAACTCCACTGAGCGGCGCAGTTTGAGAGTCAAAAGGGTATGTATTCCCTCAGCCACATGCCGCGGTCCTGGGCCGGTGCGGAATTGCGGGCTGTGAAGCGTCTCCCAGAACTGTTAGTGTCGGTGCTGTGTGCTCTCGGGCTGCTGAGGGAAGCCACTGGGTCACAGAGATGCAGATGTCACGGCAGCTATGCGGGCAGAGAGAGGATGAGAGTGTTGGTTCGTCACTGGCCTGGAACCTGTGATGGTTGAGGCTGGACATTTAGTTTGCAGCGTCTGCAGCAGGGGCCTGGGCAGCCCACAGGTGCGTCAGACGGGGTGGGGCACAACGGCTCATGTGGCCCCACACCACGAATGGCTCCTGAGCGATCGCGGGAAGTGTGTAAAGCCTGGTACCTTCCCTGAAGGAGCACACATTCTCGTAAAGAGCACACAGCTTTTCTAACTTGCTTAAGCAGGTATTTTTAGAAGGTCAGAATTAACGTGGCCTCTTCCTAGAGGTCATAGGTCTCTGGATGAGCTTTAAGGGCAAGTCTGAGAGAATATTTAAATAAATTAGAAGGTTGGACTGTTCAAGTCATTGCAAGTTGGCTGTTTACTTACCAACAGCTGAAATACTAGAAAGGAATAAAGGAAAGTTATTTGTTCACTGTGATCATTTTGGCTTAAGATGTGTGGTTTGGTAAGGACAGAGCCTTGCACCTGCAGAGCCCTGTCAGTGGTGAGGTTGCCACCCTCGGGTGTCCACAGCCTAGAGGAGGGACTCGAGTGCAGGGCTGTTAAAACTGAGCCAGGTAGGAGAGGGAATGAGCTCATCTCGGAGAGTCCAAACAGCTCCGTGGGGAGGTCTGTGCGTTGATGCATAAAACTGCAAAAGAAAACGGTAGTGTGTCGCGGGGCGGGGGTGATAGATACCAGGTGCCGTGGGTAGGTGGCAGGGAGTGACACAGGTGCAGGAAAACACACAAGGATGAGCTGTGCATGGTTTGGCTGGAGCTTCGGCGCTGTGGACAAGAAGGTCAGGCACAAAGACTAGGAAGGCAGGTCGGAAGCACGGCCATCTCCAGGGCTGCTCTGGTCTCGTGCCGCCAAGTGCAGAGCGCTAGGTGCGTGGTTAGGCAAGATTTGGCTCCCCTGGGTTAACTCCCCAGTTACTTGAAAGAAATAAAAGCATATTCCTTTTTGTCTAAAGGCAGATGTTCTGGCATTTATTTAGCATTTAGTATTTTCAGGAATTTCTGAGGTGTAGATTTTCAAGGTTTCCAAGCACCCAAATTTCCATCATCTTGAATGGAAATTTTTCTCAACTGCTTCCTAAGTCTCCTGCCTTCTTAAGCAGCACGTACTTTCAGAGGACACTTGCCCTCTTCCGAGAAACTTTAACCGGAAGTATTTATAAATTGAGTGGAGGTGAAAAACAGTTGAGGTACTAATAAACTCGGTTATCAGAGCTACTGGAACCAGAGAAAGCTTAGTCCTGAAGCATGTCTAGGAGATGGCTTTAAATGATTTTTAAAGTAGACACGTGGTTTGACAGGTATGAGTGGGGAATGGTGTTCTGATTTAGGAATTACAGCATGAAAAAGATGTAGGGATGTAAGAGAACAAAAGCATCTGCCCAGATCAGTGAGAGGATTGCCTACGGAAAAGCACAGTGGCAGGCACGTGAGTGAGGGGACGGGGTGCCCGTTGGCAGTGACGTGCTGGGCCCTCCTCATACTGGCTCGTAAGAGCCAGCTCTGCGCGTCTCTTCCCACTTTGGTGACATCACAGTGATAGCCTGAAAAAGATTATGGTGGGAGTATTTACACCATTGAAATTGGCAAACCCTACAAATCAGTGCTTCTCTTTTTCCCCTGGAGAGCCAGTTGTTAACCACTCACCAGGAGACCACTGCACAGAGAGTCCTGCATAACAACCAGGACAGATTTCTGATTCTGAGAAGTGAGTGGTGCAGTCAAAGGGAATGTGTGTCTAGACGATTCTTGCTGTGTAATGCATTTGTAGAGAGGGCAACAGTTGAGTAAAGGGAACCTAATAATAAGAACATTACAGAAGCCTAGCACCCAAACTTCCAGTGAGCACGCAGTAGGTGCTGGAATAAGAGGAGACAATAGAGCGATTCCAACTTGAGCTAGAGCTCTGAAATCAGAAGAGGGACAGATGAGCCCTCTCCCTTCCATCTGTCACGAGCACTACCATTTACCCAGGTCTTCAAACCAGAGTACTTGTCAAGTTTGAGTCTCTCCTCTCTTGTGTCAAATAGTGAAAGTTCTTATTAGTAACCTCTTAGCTTACGTTCCCACTGCCAACAGTCTAGGCAAAAAAGACCTCCTTGTTCCCTTCTGCTAATGCAGTCGTACCCAGCCTAATTTAAATTCTCTTCCACAAGTGAGCTTGCCCCAGCCCAGAGTGATCTGCTAAACTTCCTGTACACTTTATGTGTTAATTCAGTTTGCTGTTGCTTACGGCTCATGCCATTCTGCAGTCAGAGTCCTCAAGGCTGGAGATTGTGTTTTCTCTTCCCAATGTTTTGCCTACAACCCCAGCTATTCAACACTATTCATACATGTTCAATAATTATTGCTTGATAATGGATAAGATTGGCCCTGGGAAGAGCAGTAATGATTGAGTGCTGAGAGCAGATAGCACACAGTGGGAAATCGAGGAAGGAGCTGGAATTTAAGGGTATCGATTGGGGCAGGGGGTCAGAACCTCAGCCCCAGTGACCAGCTGCCTTCCAGCCAACACTCACAGAAATGGTTGCAAAGATGGTAAGTTGTGGGCATGGAGTTTTATGCCCTGAAATGGAGGAAATGGAAATGTCTTGTAATGCATTTATTTTTCACATAGGGCAAGCTTCACACAGTTAATTGGTCAGGCTAAGATAGGCTATAGTGTGGCAACAACTTAAAAAATCTCGGCTTTAACACAATAAAGGTTTATTTCTTGCTTGGCCACTTGTTCCTTGCAGGTTGGCTGGGTGCCAGGCTCCCTGTTGCTCTCACTCAGGACCTAAGCTGCTATAGCGTCCCTCTGTGGGTCTTTGCTGCCCCTCTAGCAGGGGACAGAAATGTGCACCTCTCACATGGGCTCTGACAGCCTGCTGCCTGGAGGTGGATGTACACCTCCACCCTCCCACTCACCTTTCCTGCTCCAGAGCAAGTCACCTGGCCACTTATGCCCTCACCTTCAGGCAGCAAGGAAGTACAATCCCATCCTGTGCCAGGAAGGAGGGAGAGAATAAGCACTACTCACGTTAAAATGGTGGTTTTGTCGTTTTGTTTCTAACTGTCCAGACTGTTTGCCAGCCAGTCCTTAGAAGAGCAGCACAAGAATGCCCAGTGCGTACATCTCTAGACTTAGAACTGGATCTCCAGGCATCTCTGACCAGGCAGAGTCGCCTCAATGATGAGCTGCAGGCCCTGAGGGGCTTGCGGCAGAAGCTGGAGGAACTGAAAGCTCAGGGAGAGACTGACCTTCCGCCAGGTGTGCTGGAGGACGAGAGGTTCCAGAAGCTCCTGAAGCAAGCTGAGAAGCAGGTACAGATCTCAGGTCTCCATTATCTGTGAGGGGCTAACAGAGTGCGTCCCTTTTAAAGCCTCTGTGTAGAAGGCTCCCAGCTTACTCCTCTGCTTACGAGTGTCTAGATCCTTTTCCTAGAACTTGGAACACATCTTTTCCCCACTATTACAGGCCTTTTTTTAAAATACCAAGGATATTGCTAAAATAGTGCTACTGCCCCACTTCCTCAGCCCCACAGCTGCACCTGATGCCACTGGCCATCTGGGAAGAAGGGGGGTAGGCGTGGCTGCAGGGAACGGGCATGGTGGGAGTGGGAGTGGCCAGGGGAAGTGGGCTGTGGTCGGTCGTAATTTTTCCGTGGCATTTTTCTCTGTCTTAACATAAGCCCTGGCAAATAGATACAGTGTAACTTTTAGCTAAACAATACATTTTGTTTGGATTTTTTATGGGTAGCTTTTTAATATTCATTTACCACATCAATTGTGAATACATTGCTAATTTTCATGCTCCTAAATTTTCACTTTCATTCTTACCTTCAAGAGAGATTACAGTTCACTTGGCATTCTCCATGGCCTTTCACTCTACAAACAGCTGTACAAAGAAAATAAGATAAAATCACTGATTTAAAAATAGAGTGCTTTTGGGGCCGGGCGTGGTGGCTCACGCCTGTAATCCTAGCTCTCTGGGAGGCCGAGGCGGGCAGATTGTTTGAGTTCAGGAGTTCGAAACCAGCCTGAGCAAGAGCGAGACCCCATCTCTACCATAAATAGAAAGAAATTAATTGGCCAACTAATATATATAGAAAAAATTAGCCGGGCATGGTGGCGCATGCCTGTAGTCCCAGCTACACAGGAGGCTGAGGCAGCAGGGTCGCTTGAGCACAGGAGTTTGAGGTTGCTGTGAGCCAGGCTGACGCCACGGCACTCACTCTAGCCTGGGCAACAAAGTGAGACTCTGTCTCAAAAAAAAAAAAATAGGGTGCTTTTTAAATGAACTGCCACCTAAAAGTTACTAAAATTTTCAAGAATCTGCATATATATGAAATCAATTTATTCTCTCAAGATGAGAATTTATATTTTGGTATAGGAGTATATGTTCACGTCTATATGTAGTAACAAATATAGCTGAAATATTACAAATGCTAAAATATTATTTTCTTTCAACCCCTTTGGGTAAGAATCTGAAATAGATTAGATACTTCCTGAAAATAATAGAAAATCTTGTCTACAATATAAATTGTTCTTTCCAGCCCAGAGTTATTGTTGATCATGTTATGTGGTTCTTTAGGCAAAGTTTGAATTATTTAGCTGACCAGCACTGCTAATCCCAGATGGAACTCAGAAGCTTAATGAATTTCAAGAATCAAACTGACACCAATGATTTTTAAATAAAGTTTAAATATAATAACATGTTACACGACTGTGTTACATCCCACCTGATAGAAAGATACCATCACACACGATAGAACCTCAGTAAATGTTTGTTCAGAGTGGAGTTGAATTGTGGGCCTTCCGTTAGACCCTACAGTGAATACAAGGACAGTTAGACACAGTCGTGTCTTGGTAAAGGAGATGAGCCAGACACACCTGGTCCCCAAGAGATTGCTTCCTGAGGAGATCAGGAGATCAGGAGGTGGCACTTAAACTGTTTTGAAAGCAGATAGTAGAGCTTCAGCCCTCAGGGGTGAGAGACCCAGCAGGGACAGGACCCTACATTAGTGACAGTCCAGATGGGCCCCGCACAGTGACGAGCCTACAGGACAGGGGCCCACAGCAGCTCTTCCTATAACATGGAAGATCAAGTTATAAGCTGAAACGGCTACTCTTATGTTTATAACCTCAACGACAATAGCTATCATTTTTACTCTCTTGTGTCTTTTAACTCAGCAGTAACAATGACTTCAAGCTCTTGGTTGACTTTGACCAACCTTAATACCATGGAGAAGCACCACAGTCTCTTACTGTTACGGGTCAAAGACTTTCAAAGCTGAATTGCAGTTTTGCAACTATATCAACAGAACTTTTCATCTTTGGTTTTTTTTTTTTGTTGTTGGTTTATTTCTAGTTTGTCATGATATGCAATTCTAGATATCAGTAATTTTAAAAAGTATGGGGCTTAATTTTTCTAGTTAATATCATAATGCTAAGATTCATCCATCAGTTGCTTGTTACTGCAGTTGATTCTCACTGCTGTCTAGTCTCCATTGTGTAGAGAGAAGCTCAATTAAAAAAAGTTCTTTGGAAACTAAAAAAAATATAGACAGAGCTCTGACAAAATCAATGAAGACAAGATACAAATAAAGAGCATTATAAAAGTAATGAGGGACGGAACTACAGATAAGAGATTTAAAGATAATTGAATACTATCAAAAATATATGCTCACAAGACATATATCTAGGAAACTATAGCATATTAGAACTGATGTTTGGAAAGAAAAAAAGATAGAAAATTCTATAAATCTTAGAAAAATAGAAGTAGTGATCAGAAATCTATCCACAAAGAAACCATAAGGTTTAGATGTTTTGTAGGGAAGTTTCACCAAACTTTCAAAGAATAGATTATCTGAATTTTATACAAACCCTTCCAGACACTAGAGTTAGAACACTACACAATTCATCTTATGTTATCAACATCCCTAATACCAAAACTAGACAAAGACATTATCAAAAAGGAAAATTACAGGCCAGTTTCATTTATGAATGTAAGTGTAAGAATCCTGACTGAAATATTAGTAAATAGAATCCAACACTGGATTAAAAAGATACGATACATTTTGACCATGTTGAAATGTGTAAGGATGTTTTTAATCTTAGAAAAATCTATTAATATAATTAATCACTTTAACAGATTAAGGAGAAAAAACATTTGATCAACTCAGTAGATGTAAGAAAATATCAATAAAAGTCAAGAGACAGGAACTTCCCAACTTGTTGAAGAGTAACCTATAGCAAATGTGATCCTAAATAGACAACATTGGAATCATTTCCTTTGAAATCAGACACAAAACATTCAGTATTCTTCTGTTCAGCATTGCATTAGGAGTTCTAATCAGTACTCTAAGGCAAATACCAAGTAGAAGCAGAAAGATTAAAAAGGAGTAAATAAAGTTGTCATTATTTACAAATGACATGATTGCATACATTAAAAAATCTGTAAGTTATCAATAATAGAGTTTAGCAAGATGGGTAAATAGAAGAATGATAATAAAAGTCTGTTGCATTCATCTTGTAATTGCCTAAAAAAAAATAAAAAAATAAAAAAATAAAAGTCTGTTGCATTTCTATACAACCAGAAATAACTAGGAAATTTAAGATAATATTCACAAGAATATCAAAAAAATCTCAAATTTAAAGGAAGAAATTTAACAAAAATATATGCGGTACAGGGTAGGGACAATTATAAAACCTCATTGGAAGAAACATAAGAATACAAAGAATACAGATTCATGGAGAAATATACCACATTCACATAGAGCAGGGGTCAGCGAGCTTTTCTTCTAAAGGGGCATATATTAAATATTTTGGTCTCTGTGGGCCACGTGGTGTCAGCCACTACTATTAATATTTGGCTCTGCCATTGTATCACAAAAGAAGCAACAGACAAGATGTAAATAAATAGCTGTGGCTGTGTTCTAACGAAACTTTATTTACAAAAACAGATGGCAGGTCATAGTTTGCCAAGCCCTGATGTAGAGAAAGAATTATTATTGGGAAGATGGTTAATTCTTCCTAAAATGTACCCTAGAGGCAATGTAATTCCAAGCACAACACCCACATGGTTCTTCATGGATATTAATAGAGTTAATGGAAAAATAAAGGCCAAAGAATAACTGAAGTACTTCTGGAGAAGAAAAACAAGGAGGGAGACTTGCCTTACAAGAAATCAGGATTTATTAAATTGCTAAAGTAGTTAGACAAGTATGGAGGAATCAAGAGATCAGTCATGACGTGACATAGGAAACTCAGAAACGGAGACCTGTATGCACAGACATTGCTGTGTGCTGGGGGTGGTGTGTCAGCGGTGGGTAAAGCAGGGACAGTGGCATCAGGGAGGCTGGGAAAGAGAGTATCCACATGGAGGAAGATGACAGTGGACCAGTGCCTTACAGACCAAAATCAACTCCAGATAGGGTAAGGACTTTGGTGTCAAAAAATAAAGTTGAAAACTCATAGTAAAAAACATGGGATGTAGCTTTCCACATTTTGATTTTTGTGGCTCTCGTGCCTATTCTGTGTCCTACTTAATTGGAGATAAGGTAGGTTGAGGCAAGGTTGCTGAGAGCCTTGAGTGCCTGAGCAGCGGGGAGCCATGAAGGTTTCTAAAGAGGTGCTCTCTGGAAGGGCAGCGTGGCAGTGGTGTGTGTGACCTCGGCTAGAATGGGAGGCTCCTCCCAGGTCCCCAGGGCCTGCATTTCCCCGTGGAATCAAGTGAGGGGGCATTGGCAGATCCAAGCAGTATGTCTGACACTGTTTGCAAAACAAGATGACAGCATTCTTTTAAAAATGTTACAAATATGCTGGTTTTCTAAGCTTTTTTTTTTTAATTGTCTTTCATTGTAGGATTTTGCTAAGATTTTTGCTATTGTTGACAAGTGATTGAAAATTTGGGTGCTAATAGGGTGATTCTTGTTTTCCTTCTACACTAAAGAAATCTTCAGATTTGCTCTTAGTACAGGTAGATGGAAAGTGGAAGCAGTGTAGAACCCAACAACCCAAGGAAATCTTTGTGGCTGACTTAGACATGTTACTCAGAGCCTCTGAAAACCTGCAGTCAAGTAAGAAGTTGATGTTTGACTCACACACATTCATTTTAATGATTTATCCTTTAATGAGCTAGATAGTAATGTGTGTTTGTTTTCAGCTGCAGAAAGTTCGGTGTTCCCTGTTTAGAAAAGAAAACCCTCTTAATGTAAATCCTCCCTCTCAAACTCCTGTGGTGTCTTCAGCCTGGAGTGTGAACTTCCCAGGGGAGTGATGAGGCCACCTGTACCTTCCAGTACCCGTTCCACCCAACCTTG